TATGTGTTCACACATGCATTCCTGGGTGCTCGCCAGAGTCCAGGTTAAGTGACTTAAGCCACGCAGACGTGTCCAACCAAATGAGAGGGATTTTGGGAGGTTGGACCCACGCTGCCTCCCACCCACCTCTACGTCCAACCTCCATTCACTGAAGCCCAGCAGATTAACTCCCTCAGATCTCTCATCTTTAATTAGGAGCAAACAGAAGGAGTGAAGGCGCTGCTACTCCAGAGAGAAAATAGTTTGGAAATAAACAGAGTAGACCTGATTTATTGTTGCTGACACATGATCTCAAATTTCATCTCTCTGAATAGTTCTATATAAATACATTAGTGCTATTTCAAATATTGTATAAACTCATACAGTTTAAGCAGTGTGGGAAAGGAGAGGATGCAGTCATAAAGTTAATCACTTACGCATTATGTTTCGCATTATCAATCGTGTCAGAGACAGCAACATTTTCACATAGGGTTTTTAACTCCTCACCCCATGCACGTTGTACAGATAGATAAAATGAGCCACAACAAAGCCTCCAGGATGGTTCCAGGACTTGACCTGGCTCTGAGAGCCAACATAATGCTCTACAACTATTTTAAAAAGCAACATCCACCCTAAAAAATATGACACTGACTCAATTAAGGCCCAGTCAGCAGAGAAAAAGTAGCACAAAACTATGTGGCAGTAATTGTACCAGCAGGGTTTTGTTTTCTGTGTCTCTCCTCTGCCTTGTTATCTTAAAGTTATTTTGTGCCCACATACAGAAGATGAGGCACTTAAAAAAGAAAAGAGAACTGAAACATGAGTAGGTGACACCAGAACCCTGAGGGGCTTATAAACAATATTTCAGAAACATCTGACAGAAAGCAAACAACACTAACATTTATCAAGTGTTCATGTTTGACAAGAAAAGAAGAGAAAGTAAATAATACCCCGAGTCAATACAACCCATGCTATATTTTAAATTGTGTGCATTTCACTGACTGCTTTTAATGCCTGCTCATCAACAAGCAGCTAATTGCAAGGATGTCAGCGGTGAGGAAACAAACATTTATATGACCCTCACATCTCCATCTTTCAAGTTAGACCAGTAAGAAAAGGAATGCATGGAGTGGGTTTTATCGCTTTTTCCCAGAATCCTCCCCCAGGAAGCTATTAATTTCCTGGATGTTTGCATGAGACGCCTCTGCGACCCAGCTTGCTCGCCATTACAGGGATTGTGTAGGCCAGGCCCCTCCTCCTGAGGCAGGCCTAGCAGCCACCATCAACCGTAATCCCAATGTGTTCACCAGAGGACGAAGCTCTGCAGATGAAGGGCAGAGACGTTAGTGTACGTTAGCAGCCAAACGCTAACTTCCCCTCTCGGGATACCTCACATCTACATGATCACATCAAGATGTGACTTCACACTTTATCATTAATATTAACAGGATTCAGGAGCTGACTGTCGGGACTAGATACTGGATTATTCAGTTGGAGTGGTCCAAAAATGTCATGATGGTGTTATGATGAATGTAGCGTGTGATTGGTGGATGGTGCGTCTGGATAAATGGGTAAAAGCAGTCAAGGGCGGGGCTTGGAGGAGGGGTTAAATGGAGAATGGTGAAGACAGAGAGTTGGGGCTAAATTTAGCCAATGGCTCTGCTGGGGTGGAGCTAATCCTCTTTGCACTCGAATTATCTGGCCTTCGGATTAGAGAGCTTTGCTTCTATGCAAGACATCTACTCTCTATAATGATGTCCCATAGCAGGCCGTACCATGTTCCCTGGTGGGGGTGGATGGGTTGCCAGACTGAATGATGAACTTGTTTAATGGGGCAAAATCATTCACTGTTTGCTGGTGTGAGCACCATTTTACAGTGTTTCCCATATAGTGACAATTATGTGATATAATGTAATGTAGTGAGCAAGCAATCGCAACAGATTGCACACAGTTAGCATGCAATATTGTTTCTGGACAACTTAGACACTGTAGAATCTCCTACACAGAATACATTGTATTGGAAATTATTGATAGTGAAACTTGAACATGTATCAATAAAAAGTTATGGAAGTATAAAGGGAACAGCTGTAAGTAGGACTTAGCTGGATCTAATGATATATAGCCTACTGCTGCATACTGACTTACATAACAATTAATATTCATGTCTTACTGTCTCACATTCTGGGCAGGTGGATCTGTAGAGTGACTGTTTGCAATCTGGGGGTCAAGACTCAAATCCCAAAGGATTTGTATAATACAGGGGGAAAAAAACCCTCTTTGATCACAGCTGCAAGACTAATGCAACAAGTGCAGAGGGGTCACATGTAGACATCTCCTAATTTTAAAGGGTCACAAGCCAAAAACGTTGTGAGGCACTGCTGCAGAGGATGCAAAATGTAAGGAGTTAGAATTGCCACTGCCCATTTCCATGCTACAAATGTGTACATTCGGGTTACTGCATTGTGCAGCAGAATATGACAATGTCTACCACTAGTGTTAAATTAATTGTGTAAATCTCTTCCTTAAAAATTGACCCTTCACTAAGTACTGCCCCCGGACACAGACTGGCCAATCATAACGCAGCATCGGGCCTGCTCAGACCAGGGTCCGACAACAACACAGCTGGGCTCCATTGACTCTAATGCAGTTGTTGCAGATTTCCTTCATTTTCAGGCTGGTTTTGTGTATTTGGAGCTAAATGTTGTGCCTGAGGACAGGGAATGAGACTCAGTAATTGACTGTCTTTATCCAGAGTTACAGACAGCACTTTTAAGTAAAGTAGAAACAACAGTTACAGTAAAGTACTAAAGAATAAGCAACAAAACTTACTTAGGTATCAAAAGTATGCATCAGCAGAATCACCCCTGTCAACTTTATTGAAACACGTCATATATGGTATAACCTAATGTATTCATATGAGCAGGATATTAATGCTATAGAAAATGTTTTTTTCTAACAAAAGTGCAAAACAATTTTTTGTACCAGCTTGTCACTGGTGAGGACTTTCAGCTTTTTTTTCTTATGTAATAGAAAACTGAATATCTGCAAATTTTTGACTGTTCATCAAATATAACAAGCTATTTGAAGATGGCACCTTGGGCTTAAGGAACTTGTGACAGGCATTCCTCACAATTTTTGACTTTTATTGACAAAAAACTATAATCAACTAATACTCAAAATAATTCAGTAATCTATGGAAATAATGATATATTTACTTACTAAGTAAGTATGTACTTGGTTAAATGTGATGTCCACCACACAGCAGACATTCTGGAGATTTAGTGTCTTGATGCACATTTGGATGCATCAAGCTTTTCACTTTCACATTATGGGAGGACAGTGTAAACACTCCCAGTAAAACAAACTACATAAAGATGTTTTGGCAGAGTAAGACTGCAGACAGCAAGCACTGAAGGCCTCTTGAGGCATAAGCAATATATCCATATATTAAAAGCTTATGATGTTATATAATATACTATCATTTGGGAAGAGCCTGGCATCAGTCCACCAACTGTAACTGCTTTTCTCTCTGTGGCAGTCCTCTTCAATCTGTATATTTTCTGTATGTAAACCACAGGAATGATATGTGGTGCAGGAGAGCTATGATTATCCATCTCCAGCAGTCAGTGCCACTCAGACACATCCATTATCACCTCTGCACTCAACCACGCCCAGCAAAATGAACCACCAGGCCTTCCTTCCTGCTGCAAGGGAGGAGGAATATTTTAGCCATTTCTGCTGATGTGCTTATCCGGAGTGAGTCAGGATGGATGAGCAGCTGCAGTGATCTGATGGACCTGTTTACACCTGGTGTTAACATGCGTCTTGGCTGATGCAGTTACAAGTGAAGCAATTTCAGTCTGTCTGTCATTTCACACCTGGTCTTAGAAAGTGTCTCTGCATGTGTATCTAGTGAACACTTGGGATTGGATCTCACTTCCCCACTCTATATGCAGATAAACACAATACGATTTCCATTTGTGAAGATCGAAAGTTGTTTTTAACCAGTGGGAGGTAGTGATGCACTTCCTGTGCCTAGTGTGCCGGGAATTAAAAGACAAGAAGAAGAAGAAGAAGAAGAAGAAGAAGAAGAAGGAGAAGAAGAAGAAACATATCAGACAATAGATAGAAGATGAAGAAGACAAAGAAGTGAACCTCCCTTGAAGGAGAATGTTCTTCAGCCCAAATAGAAGTCAGACAGCATGTTTCGTGCATACTTCATCCACAAGAATCCATTTACCTGTTGTTGTGGCTTCTTCTTTTTGTTAAACACTTTAAAATACTGCCATTGTCCAGCAAATGAGTCTGTACCTCCGCTTTGCTAAAACAGTATGGCCCAATATGAGGCCCAGACCACCTCTGAACGTGGTCTTAGCGAACGGACTGAGGATCCATTGGGTGCATCACGCCTATACTTTGCAGTGTCCACTTGTGATGCCATCGCCCAAGACATATGTTAATACCAGGTGTAAACAGGGCCGATGAAAGGACATACAGTTATTGCAGGGATGTGCAATCTACTTATAGGCCAGAAGTGTCCATCCTGGCTGGTGTAACTTTAGACAACCATTATCTAAATATGCTGTCACAGTCCACTACTGTGATGACACACTACACCTGGTGTAGTGAATGAAATCTAAATTGCACACACTCTTGGGGCTCTCTTGACAATGATCACAGACTACTGAAGGCCCAGACTCAAGTCTCAAGGAATACAGTATATCTACCAGCTCCAGCACTGCTGCTCTGCCAGCTGACAATGACATCTGACCTTTCTGTAGAGGAGCGTTTTTAGAGATCAAGAGTATCACTAAAAAGCCAGTAGAGTGCATCCACAGTTTGCAGTCACTATCAGTAGAGCCTGTTGCTCGTTACACTTGAAGGACTGTACCATTGGGTCCCAGAGAAGGGGGGGTTAGTTCCGGGGAGTTTCCTGTAGGGATGAGCCCTGGCGTGGGAGGGGTGGTGGCGGGGGATCGTGAGGTTGGATTCTAATCCCTTAGCCTCGACTGCAGCACGGCCTTAGGATAAACTGACATGTAGGCTTTGGACATTAGAACATGCTACTTGGACTTTAGCAGTTTTTTTATGTTTATTTTGTTCACAAGTTATTTTTGTATTAAGGGAATGCCAACTCTGGTAAGACATCAGTTTTTTTTTCTTAAATGTTTGCTGCGTTGTGCTCTTTAATTTTTTGTTTTGAGAATTTGATGAGGAAGTGAGAAGTAATTTAGACTGAAAAGATACCCATGGTGCCATCATTTGTTTTTCAAGTTTTATCCTTTGCAACATCAAAATGTAGCAGCAGGTTTTTTTTCCAGCCATCAACATTACTGTGCTTATAACAGAATCGAAACATCTAAATAGACTGGTTCCAGTCCATGAAAAAATTTAATTCTATCAGCCCAAAGTCACCCTAGTACTTTAAAAATATCCTTAGAAATTTGGCTACACATTGTACCATTTGTCAAATTCCTCAGCTTTTGCTTAAATCTAATGCACAGAGATGTGAGGGAAAGAGGATACACTCAAACCAGTTTCAATGTCTTCCATATTTGACAAGGCCCACGATGGCACCTCTTGCGCTGTAACTGACCTAGTGACAGTATTTGACTCAGAAACATGTTGCTAATAAATGTCTTCGACAGGTTAGTGGACAGGTAGTCCCCAGAAATCACGGAGGATTGTCCTTTGACATCTTTAGGTCACAGAGGAGCTGAGATTAAAATGAATTCATGGCTTTGACAGCTAAGCTAAACACCAACAGACACAATACATGTAGTAGATCCAGTCTGATACATGCTTAATTTTACCAGTATGTGTTTTTGTAATATATCTGGCCTCAGTGGCAATCAGGTTATACAGTTATGCTGATGACACCGTATGCAGTTTTGGTAATTGTCAAGCATAAAAAGCATGTTTTAATTCCCCAAGAAAGTGTTGAGGTGCATTATTTCTCATGCACATATGTATAAGCAAATCAGCTGTCAGGTTCAGATCAAATACCTGCATTATACTTGCACTGAGGCCTTTTTCTTTTAATCAACTCCCTTGATTCAGTTCCAAGTTTTGCCTAGATTAAAAGCACAATGAAAGCAGACTGAGTGAATGAAATAACTAGTACAAAGCGTACAGATATGATGGAGTCACCCTGAAGGGCTGATTGTTAAAACATGTCATGCAGAAAAAGGATCAAGGTTATTAAAAACAAATACATGACATTTGACACGTCTGTGGTTAAAGAATTAATTATAACCCTGACCGTGGCAGATAATTAATGAAATGTTCTGCAAAAAGCTGTGATTTTTATCATTTTATACATTTCTATACTTTCCAAAGATAATTACAGCTTACATTCCTGTCCCTGGAAGTGCATATATGGGTGAAGAAAATGAATAAATAAACACAACTCTCAGTAATTACCAATGGAAAGTCAGAGCAAGGCAGTGGGATCTGGTCTGTGACCGGCAGCAGAGGACTGTGGTTATAAGTGAATTCCAGGTGACTGGATGAATGAAAATGAGGCTAAAGCTGCCCCAGAGCAGCTCTCCTGTTGTGTCTGCAGCGTGTTTATCCAGCTATTCTTCCAAATGCTGTTAGCGTTGCATTAATATGTTACTTCACAAGAACAAGCTACAGAAACTTAATGAGCAAAGACGACAGGGTTCAGCTCGGTCAATCTCATGATCAATCTCAGTCTCAGTCAGTCAATGATCAGAATGGTTAAAGGTCACTTGTGAAATTGAGATACCCTCTGTAAATTACCCAGTGACCTATCTGCTTCCTGTTAAACCTCAGACTCACATTGATTTTCATGATTCAAAGGAGCTCTTTGACTTTTCAACACAGGCGACACTATCAGAGGAAGGCAGATCATGACCTATTCAAACTCTGCGCAGGCATAAATGCTGACTTGACATCTGAATTAATGTGTGTTGAGGGTAAGGGTGGTCAGGTTGATACATTCATAAACACAAAAACTGATCAATGAGTTTGGAGAGAAGTGAGAGGGATGGAGACAGAGGGGAAAAGAGTGAGTGCAGGCAGCCCAACTGTTATGTAAGCACCAGCTGTGTGAGTAAAGGCGCTGCAGCAGGATGATGAAAGCAACACCGCTTCCCTCAACCAGACTGAGCATCCACCCTCTCACTTTCTCTCCTGAGTTGTTCATGTATTATTCAGGTTACTGAAGGAAACAACAAATGAAAAGGAAAAAAAAAACTACAGCATACTCAGACAATCGTGATCACATCATATGGGTTCCACTCATTACTCCTGGCAACGAACCTGATCAATGCATACGTTTCAACACTGACTTTGGGATTTCAAAACTACATATCCAAGAGCAGCAAATACATTTCAGTGCGTCAATCCAGGCGTCCTAATCCACTGTCAGCCACCTCTGTGACTTGCGTGATGAAACAATAATGTGAGGTAACAGGGGCAAAATGAAAAAAATCTGCAGTCTTAATCTGGATTAAATTACAGTGTTCGTCATCCTGGCTCCAAACCAGGACAGACCAACCCAAACCAAACTAACCATCCAGTTGTCAGACAATGAGACTACAATTGTTTGTGGATCAAGCAAGTAGCCTAATACACACGTAATGAGTAATACCCATTGGGAATAAGGGACACCCCAAAAACAGCCTGATTCTGGAAAAAAATAAAACATCAAATGGCACAAAATACTTTAAACTGTGAAAATAACTGTGCTATAGACAAAGAGAATGTTTTAACCTTGTTACATAACCTGAATGCTTGACAGGCAAAATTTTAACATGTAAAAAGATCTTAGTATTTTTAGAGATATTCTGGATATTCTGATGTTGAACTAAGTGAGGTCATTTCCCCCTGAAAATAGTTTCAAATAAAATTGCAAAATGTTACAAATAAAATTAAGATAAAAAAATCACACCACACAAGTGATATTGCGGTATTAGTGCCAGCACTTCCCAAAATTAGAACTACATTTCCTCCATCCCCTGTGGCTTTTTACTAAGAAGATTTTGCCTTGCCGCCTTTTGTTTTACTGTAAGGAATATGCACGTCTGATTTATTTTCTTCATATAAATATTTCATTTGTTTCAAAATGTGCAAGATGAAAAGCTTTACTTTTAGCTTGCTTGGGAGAAGTGGTGCAGTGGAGGGTATATGCAGATATATGGGATATATCAAACTTTCTCAAAAAGCCATTGGAATATACAGGAGAGTATACCCACTTCCTTCTCTGTAACCAAGCAGTCTACCTAGTAGTACATCCACGTTATCAACTATCACTACACCACTGCTCTAGAAAGCAGCTCACTCTTCTTTTTTGGTTCCATAAAGCAGCCATTTCAGGCAGTATCAGATCCTTTTTAATCTTCCATAATAAAGAGGAAGTGCTTTCAAATAGTCGTAATCCGTAGTCAAATATAAGGGAAATATCTTCTCTCAAAGCAAGACAACGCAACTTCTGAATTAAGAAGAATTAAGAATTAAGCTATAACACTTTTTTTCTTTCAGATTAAAACTTAAATTTTTAAGCTATAAAATGCACCCTTTGGGGTGTTCTTGCTAACAGCCTTAGCCACTTGGTTCTTGGTCTGGTACGACCATTAGCTTATGGAGGCTAATGTTAGCTAACATTAGCAACCTTTTAGATGGATATTGTTGTGTAACTGACAGTGTGTCTCAAATCACATACTTCCGTTAGTACACTTCCATGTAGTATACTATGTGCACTATGTACTTATTGGCGTAGTGCGTGAATTTCGATAGGCTAGTGTTGTCTCAAACCAAACACGGCCATTGTGCACTCACCTGGAAATGACTGCTGCAAATTAGCTAGTTAGCAAACTAGCATTAGCATTCGTGTTATCGTTCGCGGTACCAAATCATTACAGACTGCTCAATTAAGCCAATAAACATACTGCTGGCTTATACCCAACAACAGTATAGCGGTGCTCAGTGCAAAAAACACATGTATTTGTACAATGCAGTGACGTTCACAGTCGCACAGTCCTCGGCCGCCATTTCCAGTTTGAAGCTAATTTATTAGCTAAATTTATTCTAAATTTACATGGCTAACTTTAAGGGTAGTACTCCCCAGATGCCCCTGGGCAAGGCACTGAGGACAGTATTTGTTGTTGCAGGAGAAGTTTGAAATTAAAAAGCACAGTACAGGGCAAAGTTGGACTAGATTGAGCGCATAAAAGATTAAATCAAGGTTTGTGCTATTTTACAGTTTCACAGTGTGACTCATTTCTCATGAATTGTGTGCTGTATTTGGCATTCAGCTGTGTTGCTTAGTTGTCTGTCACAAAACGCTTCCACAACACGACATCTTTTGTTATCTGTAAATTACAGAGGATCCAGCTTCAGGCTAACAATTGCTTGATTTGGAAGAATATGCGCACAACTTCACTGTGCATGTGTCATTAAATGATGTCAGTAAAGCATGTGACAGCCAGTAACCCTCCTGAAATGCAATATAATTTGTGTTATTGTCCTCCTATTGGTGCCGCCGGCCTCTTGTCACTATAAAAATCAAGACAGATCTGAATGTGTCATCGTTGCAGCAGTGCTGTGTGATGGATCAAAATGGCGTCACAGCATCTCAGCGGAGAGACAATGAGATTATCTGGTTGTGTGGCAGGACAAGCAGCCTACAAGGGAGGGAGTCCTGAACTGCTTTTTCCTGCCTCATGACACATTTAATTTCTGTCCAGAATAATAACCTGCATTTATGTATGATTTAAAGTCATAAGTAGAAATAAATGACATAAAATTAATTGAAATTTTTTTGTTATTCAATTGTAGGGCTAAAATAAAAAGACAAAAAAGCAATGTCTTGCTCCTTTACAGTTACATGACATGTTGTATGTAGGCAACTGTTTCCACAATGTGAATGTTGTGAAGCACTTTGAGACTGTCTCAAATGTCTATGCTCTACAAGTGCATTCTTCTTTGCTGTTCTGCTGACTGATCATTTGTGATGTGTGGTGTTCACTGTGTTTTAGGTTCAGCATGCAGCACTGTGCAAATCAAGGAAGGTAATAGTCTTTCAACGCAACCATTGAGGCCTTAAATTTGAGACCAAGACAAAATCCCACAGAATACCTGCAGCAACACTGAGAGCAACTCACAGCTCCTAGGGAGGATTATGCCATTGTAGCTGACAACTTGAGCTTTCTCAGAATACGACGGCTACAAGGCAAAGTCAGTCCTGCTCTGCTTACACCCAGCAGGAACCATGGATGACCCCTATCAAAACAACGTGAACCAGCAGATGACAGAAGGTGGAGAATACACCTATACCCAGGATGGAGGAGGTCAAGATGGCTACCCTTACCAGACAGACTACCCTCCCCAGGACGAGGATGCTCGTAGTGATGCTACAGAGGGCGCAGACGATGATGAGCAGATGTATGAGGGGGAGTACCAAGGCATCCCCCACCCTGACGAAATCAAGGAGGCACGGCGAGCAGCTCGGTTGGAGGCCAGGAGGAAAGCCCGTCAGGCTGCCCAGCAGGAAGAGGAGGAGGATAGCTTGCCAGAGCAGTACGAGACCATTATGGAGGACTGCGGTCATGGACGCTTCCAGTGGACGCTCTTCATCGTGCTGGGTCTGGCGCTAATGGCTGATGGAGTGGATGGCTTTGTGGTGGGCTTCGTCCTGCCTAGTGCTGAGAAAGACATGTGCATATCCAACTCTGACAAAGGCTTACTGGGTAAGTAACAGTTAAGGGAGGGAGGGTGAAAAGTCTGGGGTTTTCACTGTATTTGATGAAAACTTACACAAATCCAAAATGAAATAGGATTTTGCAGCATTGAGAAGAAAAAGATGTTCTTTCTGTGGTTATTAAAAAACTGTTAACTGAAAAGTTTACCCCAAAATCAAAATACATATTTTTACTCCTAACTCCTAACTGTAGTGCTGTTTATCAGTCTACACTGTTTGGATGTGTGTTGCCGAGTGTTGGAGATATCAGCCATAGAGATATGTGCCTTCTCTCAAAACTGAAGGATGGACCACCCATTGTGCCCAAACTGCAAAAAAACAACAACCCAAAAAACATTCCAAAAACCTAACAGCAATGTCTCTTTCCAGAAATCATGATACGGTGACTCAAGATAATGCACAGATCTTGTTTTTTTTTCTTCCTAAACACACCCTCCAACTGAATCACTGTGCATCAGGAAGTGTAATAAATAGTACCACAGATAAGAGTTAAAGATATTAATGTTTAAATTTTGGGGCAAACTGTCCCTTTTAACATGAGTCTGTAGTCATGTTAGCAGCTCTGTGTGGCTGTACCAGGCCCCCCATAAATGCACCCCGCTTTGAAGCCAATGTCAGAGAGGCAAAAAGTATAATTACATCCTCACATGATGCCCTGCAGCCCCCATTTTTGCCACTGACTTACATGGAGAAAGAGATGTCTGTAAATCAGAGGATATTTTTGAGCATCAAAATCCCCCACGAATGACTTATTACACTGGTGGGGTTTAATCCAGCACTGTGTCCAGGTCTCTTAATACATCCATGGAATGTACTTAGGCATAGCAATGTTTTAAGCTAAATGCTAATGTTAACTTGGTAACATGCTCACACAACATATCCTCATGTAATGGTTCGTATGATGTCCTACGAAAATACACACATTACAGTTTGTATGATATCCTATGAATCGGCGCCCCACGTATAATATCACATCCTTAATGTAAAGTTATGTAATTAATGTAAAGTTACATAGGCTAAGTTTAGGAAAAAGAAACGTGGTGAGCACTCACCTCAAGTTTACTTAAGTTCACTCAAAGTTCACAAGGTTTCGGACACCAGTCTCTGGGGGGGGAAAGTCCAGAGGAATATCCTGTTTTTCCTCCGTCTTTACTCTTGTCACTGTATTGGCATGTGCAAAATACACGGATTTTGCACAAATAACTAGCTCATGATTACAATATGTACAAATTTTGGTGCATTACTTTTTATAGGAAAATGTACCAACAGTGCATGAGAGCAGCCTTGCACACAATGACAGTGCTAACATGCTGGTGTTTTAATAAATAAAACCAAACACAAAGTAGGTGATGGGAATGTCATTTCGGGTATTTCATCATAAACCAAAGTATTGGACAAATTAAAATCTTGACCCCATGATGGCACAAGTAGAAAAGTCAGAGGACCATCAGAGTTTGTTCAATAGATCCTAGGGAGAACATGAATGTCTGTCTCAAAGTTCTTGGTCATTCATTTAATACTTGCCAAGGTATTTCATCCAAAGGCCACAAATTTCATCATAAAGATGGTGTTACAGGAAACGTCAAGGGATCACCAAAGTTGACAGAATTTATCCTCTTTGTACCATAAATGTCTGTAAATGGTTCCGCAGCAAAATGGTGAACCGACTGACCGACAGACATTGCCACCCCTTGAGCCATGCAGCTAGAATGCCTAAAAACTGATTTAATAAGTTTCTCCAAAACAGATATTCAGTCTGTTGGTAACCTACAAGACTAGTTAATTATATCTGTCGAAGAGTTTCCAATCTCTACCCAGAGGGGAGGAACCCATCAGTGAAATGATCTACTGTTGTTCCTGGCTGAAATAAAATCCTGCATATGTTTGGCTCTTGATGACAGAAGACTGCGTCATACAGAAATATCCTTCAGCCGCTGGGAAAAATTATGGGAAAAAAAACTTGGCTCTTTTTAAGCAAATGCAAAAATTAAGAACATAACCAACATTATGCGTCCTAGTAGAGTATGGGTCCATTGTGAGCCTCCAGATTGAGTCATCAGATAGTGAGCCTTGGCATTGGTACCACAAGCGTCTGGAAGTTGACTTGAGGGACATCGCACAACATGTTAATTTTGTAATTATGTTAAATACCAGACACAGAATTAAGCTCTGCTTTCAATGTACTTTGAATGTTAAATATACTATGTATCAAAGATGGTGTTTCATTTATTTCAGTTGCCTGCTAGATTCACTTGTTCCCAAATATTGTACCACAACAATGTACATACCAAACAATGATACTGAAATTTGTATGCAGCATAGACCCATCTTACTGGGAAATGTACCTTGAAAGGCTTTGTTCCTCACTTTCTGTGCAGACAACCAAACTGCAAATTAAAGCCCCTCACCTTATTTCCCAGGCCTCATGTGTAGCCAGGCGATGTGGCAGATTGCACATCGCTCATTTCATCTTAACAACAGGCTCCTGGGATGAGGCATTGCAAGAGATTTATGAGGAACCCGGTGGTGATTGTATTCAGTGTGTGTTCCCAGGCTAATATGGAGCATGTTGCAGCAGTCAGAGAGCCTGGCGGCCTGCAGCGCCCGGTGCAGAGCTGTCAGATACGCTTCAGGCCTCTGACAGGCTGTGGTAGCAGGAGGAAGGCCTGGCGAAAATGAAATCACAGTGTCTGTGCAGAGCGGGAGGGGAGCACTGATCATTGGCTGAGAATATGAAGTAGATCTGCAGAATGATCCTTTTTGATTCATGCTCATGCTCTGTTCACCAGAATCACCAGAGCAGAAATGTGTTTAATCTTAACCCTAGTCTTGGATAGCAGATAGACTCCCAAACCTTTTGTTAAAAGGAGGAGGATGGTTGGCGCACTTACCCTGAACGGTGGTTTTATTGTTTAATCTATAGAGTGAAAATACAAGAGGCTGAGGGTTGGACACAATGCTGAGGACAAAGGAGAGAACGTTCTGGCAGGTTTTAAATTTCAGGTTTGATGTGGTTGCAGCAATTTAACCAGTTATCTCAAGGAAGTTGCTAAACTTGCAATTCAGCTAATGCATTTCTGGAATAGAACTGGACTTGCAATTAAAGAGCTCATGCATAAATTATGAGTTGGTTTTATGATGTTTCCCTGCTGCTATTAAAGGGACAATCAAGAATGTATTTGGTGCTTAGCATTAATTGACAAACCAAGTCAGTCAGACAATGCTTTGTGGTGTCTTTTTCCTTTTGATCCACTTTGACTTTTTTCAAGGTTTATTTCTTTGTCCAACGAAGCAGGCAAATTACCCACCTCCTTCTACTTGCTCCAAACAAACTGCTGTTACTGTTGAATTATTTGTAAAATACATCACAAGGGGCCTATGTGTATACCAGGAGACTTCTGGATGAGAGCTGCACATGCAGGTACCTTGTCTTTGGGTGAAAGCAGCTCCTCTAATCTGACAGGTGGTAAATTCAAGATCCGAGGTCTTTGCCAATTTGGTAGCATAAAATTAGAATACTGTATTGCTTTTAAGCAATTATGTCATTGCCTATCAGTGATTACATAGAAAAAGTTCAAGACATAGCGTTTGATGAGTCAGTCTGTCTCCATCAAAGTAGACAAATGACATCGCCCAATTGCTGGAGATGTCATATGAAATCTTAAATATATAAAATCACATCAGGGAACAGGCAGGTGAAGCTGTTTCACTTGGTATCTATAACTGTGTTTCAAATAGCTTTCTTCTGTACGTACACTTAATATTCTGAGTACATAAGTGCGTTCACACTGAGAAGTATGGAAAATGCAGTGCACTATGAGTACCTGGATGGTGCACTCAAAACGGTCAAGAAGTTGAGTGTGGAACTATGGACACTTCTCGCCCTCAATGGTCGCCATCTTGGCTACGTAGCTGAAGGGGAGGGACCACTTTTCAAACTGGAAATGGCGGCCGAGGACTGTGCGACCGTAAGCGTTGCTGTGTTGTACAAATACATGTGTTTTTTGCACTGAGCACCACTATACTGTTGTCGGGTATAAGCCAGCAGTATGTTTATTGGGTTAATTTAGGAGTCTGTAATGATTTGGTACCACAAACGATAACACGAATGCTAATGCTAGTTTGCTAACTAGCTAATTTGCGGCCGTCATTTCCGGTGAGTGCACAACAGCCGTGTTTGGTTTGAGACAACGCTACCCTGTCGAAATTTGTGCACTACAGCAGTGAGTACATAGTGCACATAGTATACTACATGGAAGTGTACTAAAGGCAGTATGTGATTTGAGACACACATACACATATGTTTCAATAAACCAGAGGAAAAGCTAGCTTGCTGCAGCCAGTGCTAGCAAGCTAACTGTTAGCTAACTAAATTTCTTTGTTACAGGTTAACATTAACTTGGGATTTTCTTGGCTTTTCAGTAAGTTCTATGTAACTTATGAATTTAACATCCTTAACTAACCTGTGGTCAAGTGTTGCATCTAGGAATGAGGGGCTCATGCTTGAGACAGGCGGAGATGTAAACGCTAATGCTGTTACATTAGCTAGCTCAGTGGTGCTAGGTGAGCTAGATGCTTACTTCTGTTGGGTGATATGGTTGGCGGGTGTGGTTCGATAGAAAGACAATAGTTTCTACTGTACATGAAACTGCTCACAGTAAGGTCTATGAATTATCTTGACTATAGGAGTCATGATTTCTGGAAAGACACATTGCTGTTAAATTTTCCAAATGTATTTTTGGCACTTTGAGCACCACAAGCTGAGTGCCATTTAGTTCCATTATATTCAAGAGAGGGCAGACATCTCTATGGGCAATATTTTCAACACTCAGCATCTCACACAAAACAATCTGCATTGATAAATAGCATTACAGGTAAGACAAAAAATATGTATTTTTGATTTTGGTGTGAACTGTCCCTTTAAATTTACACAAGTCAGGTAAAAGCAAGCTAACGTTAGTTTTGTAGGCAACAGCCACACCTAGCTGTAGCTATATGAACAGTAATAACTACTCTTTGTGTAAGGAATGCTGGTGCAGTGCTACCTGTTTTAATTTAGTGATGCTGTATAATTTCCACTTACGAAGCACTTATGCTATAAAGTCTGAACAGCTGGTTCCAACAGGCTCCGAGCCACCAGTTGCAACTTTCATTTTCAATCAATACTATTTGAGTCAATCTCAGAAGCAGCAGAACTGACATCATAGGAAAATGTAGTAGATAATTACTTAAAGGCTTTTCACTGTTATCAAGCCATTGTGGAGGGGGAAAAAAAACACTGATGGATGTCCACCGTTCAGTATTCATAAAACTCACATGGTACATTCTCTGAAATGTTGCCCTCTTGTTTCAGAATAGCTAATGCTGCAACATCATTAATGTGCGTTATTTCTTATACCTGGAATGAAAAACTGAAACAAGTGACAGTAATCTATACTGAAAAGCCTCACATCCATTTTAATGATGTGCACAGCGTTGGCATTTAAAGAGTAGGCTACATATTGTATGTATAGAGTGCACACTCTGCAATTGTCTGCAGTTTTTTTTTTTATCTGAGTAAATTCATTGTCTCTTCATGTAGATGTGCCAAACACATTTACAGTGCTTTCACTTTTAATACTGAAAGAAAAAGGAAAATTCTTTTTATTTCCCCTCCAGGGATTCAGTGTCTCCACTGTGCTCAAGGACACTTTAACAGTCACATAGAAGCTTGTTGCTGCAGGGGTTGATCCTGGGCCTCCACCTGAAGGACAGGCTGTCTAATCACAAGGCCATCCTGTCAAACTGTCCATGTACGTCACTAAGGCATACACATTGCCTTAAGCAAAAACTTGGCCAAGATATTAGGTGACATGTTAGCCTTGACTCTTTGTCTCCTGTTGCCCTTAGCGGTCTCTTGTTGAATGAGTTAGAGATGTGCAGCTTGGCGTGTGGAGCGCCGGAGCATTTGGATAGTCTAGTAATCCACAGGGAAGGTGCACACTATTGCTCCACGTGCCGTTAAGCTGCTTAGTCCCACTGTAATTAGGGCTGTGTGTAGTAAAAACACAGAGCAGGCAGGAGGTATGGGTCTAAAGGTTTGAATAACACGGTGAAGAGGATGGCTGAGGCTGGAGGTTCGAGTCCTGACACCGGCGGCAGGGGAGAGCATATTTACTCTCCCTAAAGAGATAAAAAGGAAGCACATAATCATTGTTATCTCTGTGGTGCAGTAATGGGCAGCACAGTTGGTCACTGTTAAGAGCTGTTGCTTTACAAAAAAAAAAAAAAGAAGAAGAAGAAATGGCAGAGTGGACCACCTGCGTAGTGCATGCTGGGATAGACTCCAGGTCGCTGTGACTCAGAGTGGGAATCTGCAGATAAAATGCGAGAACATGAATTTTGCATTGATAAAGCATATAATCAGAATAAAAATAAAATGTCATATTTTATGGAGGATGAATATTTAGAAATGATTGCACTCTTAGATGCCTTAAAATCATTATGACCTTTTTTATTCATCCCGCTTTCTGGGAATGCTATTGTCACTGTATTTTCTCTCTACATCATTATGAATATTAGGTCGTGTTTTTCAGCATGTAAGACTGCAGCACACTGAACTACTGCGAAAAGAGTAATGATTTCTCTATTCCTTTGTGTTCATACAAGGGTAAAGGGAGCCCCCTTGTGGACATCAGGACTCCTGGCCTTTAATAACAGATATTATTCCCTCCAATGATGTTTATGTGTATGTTTATGTGTGAAAATACATGTTGCTGTAGAGACTTTGTGTTTTGATGAGGTGAAGTGTGCATACTGGGAGTAAAACATGTTATCTGACCTATACGTGTTAAAGGTCAAATGCCTTTGAATAAGGTTTGTGTTTGTGTGTATCTGCAGGTCTGCTGGTGTATGTGGCCATGATGGTGGGGGCGTTGGTGTGGGGGGGTCTGTGCGATAAGATGGGGAGGAGGAAGTGTCTGATCTACGTCCTGACAATCGACCTGGTCTTCTCCTTCCTCTCCTGCTTCGCCCAGGGCTACGGCTTCTTCCTCTTCTTCAGGTTTTGCTCCGGCTTTGGGTGAGACACATTTACATTTGTGTTCACATTTACATTTGCAGGGTTTGCTTGAACAAAAGATTGGCTTTTTATAATGACTGACCTTCTCCATAATTGATGCTTTTAGTGGAAACGAGCAGGATTTTGGGAGGAAAGCACATCCCTAAATATGTATTTGACAATATTTGTTCCAAAAAAAGACACCTGACATTTAAGTGAGATGAGTAAAACAAACTGTGGACCTTTAGGAAAAGCCTGAGGAAGAGAGAGGACGTAATTTAAGAACACCAGTTGACTCAATTGTTAGTTTATTTTCCTCATCAATATAATACATTTAAATTGTACGCTGCGCACAGAGATTTCTGTTTATTTACTTCATTAGAGCAGTCCTTTATTATACCAATAAAAACAAGTGAACAATGCTCTTTGCTTGTTTTTAATTTGAGTTTTATTGCTGACTTCCTGCTGTCGCCAGCACCTTGTGCCGTGCACAGATTGATTTTGCAGCTTTCAAAGACACATTTCTTTTGATAATGATTGCAGCCTGAGTGTACCCAGACCTGCTTTATTGATGTTTGATCTTTTTGCTAAGCCAGAGAATACAAGGTCACCAAAATAAAACGTTCAGCTGTTGCTGATTCACTGTGATAATGAGCCCCGTGTTAGTCATTAATGCTCACATCTGCTGAAGAACTGTGGCCATTTTGCTGTCTTCACAAAACACAAGGAGCCGGCAGACTCCAGAGAAACGTTCTGAAATGTCAATGAACATCTTGATGTTAAATATACTGTGGAGGTCCTGCTTTGAGATTTGCTGCTTTTCATGCAATGTGATCTCTCTACTGTATATAACTGGACATTTTTTCCACAGTTTAAACTAATTTCAAATTAGGAAATGTCACTAAAATCATATAAAAAAGATTTTTTTTCTCTCATAATTTTGGTTCAATAGCTGCTCCAATGATATCTCATACATACGATATCAAATCTATCACTCTAAAAGGAGACACCAAATCTGAGTATGCCCTTGTCCCTGACCAAAAGCAGAGCTGAAACTGCATCAGGCTTCAGCCATAAAACATTAATAAACATTCGATCTTACGATATGAACGATTTCTAAGTCAATTTTCTGCCAATTTTAATCATATCTTCAACTTCTTTTTCTGTCGGTCAGTCCTAGTATCACAGAAAGCTGAGAGCCCTTTGGACAAACTGACCACCAGAAACAATCCAAGTACTGAAAACTGATCCTCCAGAATCTGGGTATTTAACTTCAGTATTTTTCTACCTGGTCCCTGTTGTCCCATGTTTTTTGGTCTCAGTGACTAATGGGAAAACGATTTTTGAAAATGGTCCAGTATTGAGCCAGACTGCTGCAGACAGCATCAGCAAAACAGGCTACAATGTAATGACTCAATTATGCACCATCAATTTATGTCCGCTTAAAGTGCTTGTTTTTGCCTCTGACAGGCTCAGATTGTTATCATTAGTTTCTAACAACTTCCGGAAATGATCCCTGCAGAGGTTGACCTTTCTGTTAAAAGAGTAAGATCTCTTTTTTAACCATAAACAGCCCAACGGTCGACATAAATTGACAGTGCACAAATGCCCCAAGTGGTTACATTGCAGCCTGTTTTGCAGCTGCTGGCTGCAGCCCTCTCACTAAATACTGGACCAATTTGAAAACTGCGATCCTTATTAGTCACCTTGACTCAAAAACATGGGAAAATATGGCCAAGGTTGAAAAATACTGATGCTACCCTTTAACTTGTAGGTTTTGATTGCTCTTTCAGTGATGGGTGGTTACATTCAAAAGGTAAAGGTGTGTTAACCTTGACAATAAAGCTGTGTGTGTACATTTTTAATAAAGCAGAAAACATTTAGAGTGAGTTTACCCAAATTTTTAGAAGATGGCTGTGAAAGTTTTCTTCACTTCAAAGTAATTCTACCGAAAACAGCAACACACAAGGACATTGTGTCTAATGACATATTGCTGTTGCGTCTATTAAATGTAATATTTAATGTTTGAGCACTAAAAAATGAATTCCATGCACTTCTCATGCATGAGCCCGAGGCAAAGACAGATGTCTCAAAATCTGGACAAATAAAACCACAAGGATCTGCATAGGCGTCAGTGACAGCATATGTTTTTGTGCAATTTGTGTGAAGTACCCCTCTAAAAAAAAATCCTATTACCAGTAAAATCTTCAGAATACTGAGCTCACAATTCTACATGACTAACATTAAACAAAGGTTGAATGTGTCAAATGCCAGATATTACAGCAAATGATACCCTAAATCCTCTGAGAACGATGGACAGAATAAAATGTGTAGTGAGAAAAAACAGGAGATTTATTTTCTGAGATGTCTTATGATTCCTCCCCCAGAATTGGCGGCTCCATCCCAATAGTGTACACTTACTTCACCGAGTTCCTGCAGATGGACAAACGTGGAGAACATCTGAGCTGGCTCTGCATGTTCTGGATGCTGGGAGGCCTGTACGCCTCCTTCACCGCCTGGGGAATCATCCCTCACTATGGTAACACACACACATGCGCTGACTCACATAACACACACATGTAGCAGACTCACATGAAGGCATGCAAACATTCAGACTTACTGTACGTCAACTCAGAAGGCAGAGAGACTATTTTAAGTGACTGGAGGAGTATTTAGTTGTTTTACATGAGGAACGTTTCTCTTCTCAGTCTGTGTGATGATAGGATGAGACTAAATTCATTTTTGTGCTTCCCCCAGCAGTCAAATATGAATAATTCACATTAGAATAAGTAAAAATATATTGCCAGTATCTGGAATTGGAAAATAATTTGAAAACAATCAATGCAAATTTTTCAAATGAAAATGACTGACGCAAAAGTAGATACAATCCTGCATAGAATAACTTCTCTATATGCAAAAGATGACAATAAAGTTGTGTTTTGTTGCACCACAGTTTTAAAGTGATTTGGACGTTACTGTAAAATATGCCAGAAAGAAAGGTTCTGAAATATTAACTTGCTCTTCATTGGATGGTTTTTCAGGCTGGGGCTTCGCCATCGGCACAGAGTTCCAGATTCACAGTTGGAGATTATTCATTCTGGTTTGTCTCTTCCCTGCGCTGGCTGCACTTGTTGGAGTCATCTTCATGCCGGAGAGCCCTCGTTTCCTCCTGGAGGTCAGATCCAATGATGCCAGATTAAAACACGCACACTTAAAAAAATGTGGTTTTATTGTCTATTTCAACTGCAAAACATAAAATCACAAATGTGCTGGACAAGGGTTAAAGGGTAACTTCTTTATTTTTCAACCTGGGCCGGTCGGGTAACCACTTGGGGCATTTGTGCGCTATCAATTTACGTTCACTAAGAGTGCTTGTTGTTGAGTGTCTGACAACCTCATTACAGAGATTCACCCTTTTGTTATAGAGGAAGAACCTTTTAAATGAACCAGAGACAGCCTAGAAATCACTACCACCAAACCAACCAGACTCCATTTGAATAAACAGTAATTTTGTCACAGTGAAACACCCTTTATTCAAAGTAGACAGAAACAAAAGAAAACTCACAAAAACTGTCTTGGCTCAACTTACCACTTTCCAGTCATCACCAACCCTGTTTTTTTTAAAAAAAATAAACTCTTAATTTACCTGGTTGGATGTGAAAATATCCTGGCACGATGCATGCTATAATTACTGTAAATTTAAATGGACTCTGGTGTAGTTGGCGATGGCAGTTTCAGGGCTTTTTTTTTGGCTAAACAAGAAGGATTTTACTCTTAAAAAAGGTCTCTCTCTGTAGGGATCCTGTCCATAATGTTGTGAGACACTTCAATAAATTGAATAATCTGAGTCTGTCAGTGACAAAAACAAGCACAATACTGGACCAATACTAGACCAGTTTCAAAAACTGTTGTTCCCATTAGACTCTTGGACATAAAAACCTGGAGAAAAAGGGTCCAGGTTGATAAATACTGAACTTACCCTTAATTTAATGGTTTTGATTAACATAAACATTGTGATGTATTCTATCCCAACACTCATTACGTCAGTGTACAGTATTAAGCATCAAGCTGTGATTGGTTAAAAATGTTGAGTCATTGTTAACCACCACAGCAACATCCCACTGCTGTGCAAAGGTAGCGAAAGGCTGCTAAGGCGCCACCAAAACACCACCCACCCCTGTTTCTCCTCCAGGACATTGTCAGACCTCTAACCACATGTGGTATTGTATTTGTATGTTACAGCAGGGCTGCTCCAACATGTTCATATCACACACCCCCAAATTATCACACATACCCCCCATCTGATAAGAGGCAGACATCCTGGGAACGCTGTTACTCAACTGCATGTGGAGACAGTGTTTATGGAAAATACAAATGCCATAAAGCCCGAGAGGTTTCACAGAATGCTCTTGAAATTAGTTATGTAGATATGCATGGATAAGTTTGTGTGTCTTTTTTCAGAGTGCCCGACACGATGAGGCATGGATGGTCCTGCGACAAGTTCACGACACCAACTGGAAGGCTAAGGGGGAACCAGAGAGAGTCTTTACTGTAAGCCTTTATTGACAAAGACACTGCTCACTGCTGTGTTGCCCAGTCACTCAGCATTAGCTGATTCAGCAGCTCATTGACAAAATAAATGTGACCAGAGGTTGTTACATATGATCCTTAAATGCCACAAATAACATGAATGATTGCAATTTAGTCATGACAGTGAGCCAGCATGCACAATGGGCTTTTTTCTGCAGCAGTCATTTTGACATGTCCTGACAGCAAAAGCACATGTATATACCCAGGCTGCCACAATGACCAGGCCCAGCATCGGCCCAAACTCGACACGCCAGAAGACATATCATCGATGATCATTAATATCATCGGTTTCACTTTGCTTTTCTTACTGGGGCAAGTCAAATAGTCTGCAGCAGTGTATGTAGTAAATGGCTGGTATCTGAGAATTTTTCACATTTTAAATTGGCAGTAAAATCTTTCAAAATCTTTCAGTGCTTTTAGTGAAAACAGACCTGTAGATGAATTTATAAATGTCAAAACTTGCACATTTTACATACATTATAATTTGTGTGCATAGTATGGAACAGAAGGTACTCATTATACCAGATGAGCACAGGTGTAAATAATAGAACTAATGATGGCTTAATTCAATTAAGCTGCTTCAGTGTCGGGTTCCTGATATTTTTTATGCTGGCTCACTGTCACACTGCGCGCTCACTAGGATACTTGAATACAACAAAGCCTCTTAACACCTGTGAATTTCCTGCTATGTGTCTCCTGTGAAAAAGGCCTTAGCTAAGCGAAAAACTATAACAGGTGTTATGTATTTAAGAAAAATAAAGGGAAAAAAACAAGATAACATTATTAATACAGTATACACTATCTGGTATGAAATGTTATACAAAAGACTAAACAGTAATAAGCTCCACAACTTGTTTATAATGAACGTCATATCTTTAATTATCAGTGCAAATGTAATGCAGATGATTGCTGGGTATAACGTACGGTGATGTCGTCCAGTGTCAAGTCTCTTTTTGATTATGCAATAAGACAAGATGATAAATGGTAGCTAGTCTAGGCGCAAAACCTGGCACTGGGGTCCCTCATAATATACTGCACAGGGGCCCATCGTAACTACCTTACGTCACTGGTACATAGCTTCTCTTTCCTAGAGAGAGTTTTCTAGGTTTTTGTTAAATCTAACTTTGCCCTCGTTGTGAAGGTGACCAACATTAAGACACCACAAACTCAAGAAGATGAGTTCATAGAGATCCAGAGCGACACTGGAACTGCCTTTCAGCGCTGGACCGTCAGACACGTGACCATGCTGCAACAGGTCCGCAGATCATTTCTACACTACACTAAAGTAGAATAGAATGTAGAATGAAAAAGTAACTGCTGAATTGGCTATGTTTTCACCCCTGTTTTCCTGCAGACTTTATATCTCAGCTGTCTGTCTGTCTCTCTTCCAGGTGATGGCTAACATCATGTCACTGTCAGCCCCAGAGCTCAGACTGCAAGGCCTCTTCCTGGTTATTGTCTGGTTCTGCTTGGCATTCAGGTAGCAACAACTTTATTTAGTCTGTACACCCACGCTGAGATTTAAAGCGAAAACATCCCAATAGAATACACATATACATCCCTACTGGTTGGAATTCAAATCATGCATTTTTGGAATATTTTGAAAGTGGATATTCATAAACTTCACCCAGGCAGAGCTATCTGAAGACATATAGAATGTCACTGCTAATATTAAAGGCCCAAATCACTATATATATTCACCTTCCCCTGTGATCATTTCTAGCTATGCAGATCATTGTCTTTTCTAATGCTCAGGTTTCTATATTTCTGTGTGTATCAGCTACCACGGGTTGGGAGTGTGGTTCCCTGACATGATCAAATACATGCAGTATGAGGATTACGAGTCCAAGGTCAGAGTGTTCCACCGGGAACGGGTCGAACGTTTCCACTTTAACTTCTCTCTGGTCAACCAGATCCACCGCGAAGGAGAGTACATTCATGACAAGTAAGTTTCCTCGTCACAGCTCACAAACTGTTCATACTACTGCCTAGATATTATTAATATATATATTTTTTTCATTTAGGTTTGCCAACATTGAGATTAAGTCTGTAAAGTTTGAGGATTCTCTGTTTGAAAACTGCTACTTTGAGGATGTCAGGTCAACCAACACCTTCTTTGAGAACTGCACCATCAAAAACACCGTCTTCTATAACACAGGTATTATGCCAAATTAGCAATGAATTATAAATAGAATATATAATATATAAATAAATGTCATTTTTTACAGCACTTTTATGCTCCCCGCTCCTTAAAGTCTAGGGCTCAATAAACTCAACTAATTAGTGCTATAAGATATATATTCAATCATTACCGCTGCCCTTAAACAGTCATCTTAGTCAAAGCATTAACACTTTGCAATATGTTTATCCTGCAGTATTAAGAGGAGAAAACTTCTGTTTACACTATAAAATATAAAACAAAAGCTGTTAGCACTGCATCCTTCTCTGTCCTCTCCAGACCTCTGGCATGAAAAGTTCAAAGACTGTCGAATGGAGAACACCACCTTCCTCCATCCGAAAAAAGGCTGCCATCTGAACTTCCAGGAGGAGAACGACATCGTTATCTACATGGTCAGCTTCCTGGGCAGTTTGGCTGTGTTGCCTGGCAACATCATCTCAGCATTGTTCATGGACAAGATAGGAAGAATCCGAATAATAGGTGAGATCAGCAGAGAGTGTAAATAGGTGGAATTTCTGTGTAGTTTTGCCAGATCTGTTTCAGTGCATCATCATCTAATTGTCTTCCTAGGTGGTTCTATGTTGGCATCGTCTGCCTGCACTTTCCTGTTACTGCTAAGCTTCAGTCAAGGAGCTGTTATATGTTGGCAGTGTCTCTTCTATGGCGCCAGCGTGGCAGCCTGGAACGGACTGGAGGTCATTTCTGTGGAACTATACCCCTCCTCTAAAAGGTACAGTCCAACTCTGTTACACTGGTAATACCACATGCATCTTACTTCATTGTTCCAATTAACTGTTCGCTAAACCCCTCATCCAAACAGTTTATGTCCAATCATAGCTTAACAACCGTAGCTAAGCATGGCAGTTCTCTCAGGCTTTGAATTTGTCCTGGCTAAGTGTTTTGCATGGGGCTGTAGTAAAGCTGGGCATGCATTTCTGAACCAGTTTTTGAGCCACATGACTTATTTAAGAGTTCGGCCAAATTTCACCTTCAATGGGCATCGTTTGCAAGCGGGGAGCGAGGACTGATCTTGGCATTATGGTATTTTTCTCACTGCGCCTGCACAAAGTGGCAAATAAAGCACCTGAAAGTGGAATGGCAACAACATGCATCATGTGGATGGAAAATATAAAAGCCAGGGTGGTCAAGCTGTGGCAATAGCATACGACCTTATCGGATGTTTCCTCTTCCTCCAAACACAACTGATATGAAAGAGAGAAACGCTGGTGATAATGCATTGTTATGAACCGTACTGGTGTAATGTTACAAACCTACACTAGAAACAAACTTCTACCTGCCTCACAGCTTTCAAATGAATCTTTATTGACAATTGTCAATAGCCAGAATGGTCCGTAGGGGCCAATGGGCTGTTTTATCTTTCATTTTGCATGTAGAGTGTGAGCACCAGGACCCCAGGAAGTGCCCGAGACTTTGAAGCCAATTTGACATCCTGGCTAAACTGCGGAACTAAAACTTTGGGCCACTCATATAATGTCCTCGGGTCCAGTAAGCCTTTTTCCATTCAATGGATAAATTTCTTGGAGTGTCACAACTGATGTGAAACCCTAGAAGAGCCGCAAGAATGAATCATTTTATCCAAATTACAGTTAGCCCTGAAGTCCCTTGTGCAAATGCTCTGTGGGCCCAACGGTGCTGAAGATCCATGCAATTTAATACCCAGGAATTGGAATGAATGGGACTCTGCCTCCAACCCTGTATCCAGTTCTCTTTATACATTCATGGTGAGCACTCAGGTTGCTGCTTGATGATTGGACCATACAGTGTGAGCACAAAAATCTCGGGCTTTGACTTTATATGACAGACAATGTATTTGTACAGTAAGAGTTGGAACTGAATAACAACATTTCTAAAAGGGGCACTAATCGTTCAGCGTATGCTCAGCTTAAGAGAGACAAGTGGTATTTAAGTAGTAGTGATGTCTTTTTTACCTTTCCAAACCAAATACACAAGAGAAAATGGATAAGGAATGTATTTAATGGTGTCTTCATCTGTTCTAATATAAGTTGCCAGTGTGAGCATGCCCAGCTAACTACCTTCCAACCTACAGTACTGATGTATTGTTACTTTCAAAGCCAAGCAGGATGTTGCTTGCTAACCACGTTATTCTGTGGGGTTGCATTAGGACTGAAACATCCACTGTGTCAAACTCAAGACGCTGCTATATCATAGTGGAAGCTAACATTAGTAGCTCTGTCCTCCAGTGACACATTACCGGGATGAATGTAACATTTGTTAAATTCATCAGTTTGTTTTTCTACTGTAAGCAAACAGGGTCATGGGTGTTAACTAGCTAGCCTGCTAACTACATATGCGACAGCATTTTCTCCAGTGAAATCAATGGTTGTTATAAGCCTGTCCACTTTCATATGAAATCAAAGACCAATTGTTTCAGAAATGACAGTTTAGATTGTTAAAAATCTTCTTATTTTATCACTGTAAACTGCATGACAAGAATAGAAACAGTAACTAAGGGGGATGAGATTTATGAACCGTCTATTTAACACCTCTTTTAAAAGCTAAATGCCTTAAAAAGTATGGTCCAACTCTAATTTCTTGCACCAAAAGTAGAGACCAATTCTGTCTCCCAGCAAAGAAAAGAAAGAGAAGAAAATCTCAATCAACCGGACAAAGGCAATGAGTCATCTGATATGATAACTTCATTCTTTCTTGTATAATCTTTTTTATTCATGAGTCACAGAGCAATTCACTCTCAGCAACAAAAAGAGATACACTGTCAAAACATATTCAATTCATCAGTCAGTCATGTAATCTCTGTCTTTGTGATTCTGCAGAGGGACAGCGTTCGGTATCCTGAATGGGATCTGTAAGTTTGCTGCCATCCTTGCATCCTTCATCTTTGCAGCCTTCATCGGCATCACTAAGATTATCCCTATCTTCCTGGCCTTCGCCGCCCTTGTCTGTGGAGGTCTGGTAGCTCTCAAGCTGCCCGAAACCCGGGAGAAAATCCTATCTTGAAAAGCCAAACTCCTGCAGCCTCCAGGCCTCAGCCGCGGTATAGCTCTGGGGAAAGCTTTTTGGGAGTGAATCATCTTAAACTTTACTGGAAAGACAAAGAAGAGAGGCCGTGCTGCGCTAGCTGTGTTTATGAGTTCTAATTAAAAGTGTTGAAAACCTGTCTGGTTGCCTACGTGAACCTGTGGTTGCTTTTATTCCCTCTGTAAGCTCCTCAGGCTGCCCAGCGTTTCTGTCACATCATATAAAACTATTGTTTGTTAATTTCCCTTTTATCATTTACTACCCCTCCTCTTCTAACACACATACACACACACAATTTAGCAGCATTTGTTTTGTTTGAGATTTGTGTAAAAGAAAGATTAATATAAGATGAAAATATGTCTGTACTTGAAAGGTGATGTAGTTCATGTTACCATGTTGTGCTTTGATTTCATTCCCTGTTGGAATAAAAGGAAAGAGGGAGGACTTGTAATCATAATAACTTGAGCTAGATTTGAATCCTGTTGTATTCATGCGGAGGCTCAGCAGCAATATTACTGCTGGTGTTGTTATTTTATTCGCCCAGACTTTATTCATTCTACTCTGTCCCATGGTGTATAGTCTCATCTTTAGTTCACATGTTGATGCTTGGTTCGATCTCTCTAGACATAAACCTGGATTGACCATTTTATTAAATGTAGGAGGTATTTGTTTTTTTATCATTTCTCCCAGCTGATCCAAATCCAACCCAAACAGCCGACTGGATTCTCCTCCTGTTTGCCCTTTTGTCTTCGACTGAGACGTCCTGTCTGTACTTAACTGTAGAGCTGTGTTCTGTAGGTGGTGATAATGTAGAGTCTTATCTGTCACATTTTGCCATGACAACGTGTAAGGAATTGTTTCTTTGTTTGTTTATTGATTTACTTTCTCGTCCTTTTTTTTCTAAAAAGGAGAATGATACAAAACTGTGAGATTAGATGTTTTGATATGATGCTCTCATTTTAATGTTCTGATGAAGAACAGTTTTACAGAACCTGCTGCATTTCTGACGATGTGTGTCAAGATTTCTAAGGAGCATGTTACTTTTTTTGGCATGATTGACTGTGTGTGTGCGTGTGTGTGCGCGGTTGTTATCCACGTCTGTGAATTTACACAATAGTCTGACTACCAATACTATATGTGTTGTTGTACATACTGTAGACCTGTGTATATTAGTTGTAAAATAGTAGCTCCATCATGACTTGAATAAAGCTGAAGGCTTATGATCCAGTGTCCTGAATAATAATTGATCCTGAATGTGTAATGAATTCTAAAACAAGTCATGCACTTGTATGAGTGTTATAACCCTTTTCCACCAACATTAGCGCATGTACACAGGTTTTTTAAACACAGGGAAACCTGTTAAAAATAGGTGACAGACTCCTTTCCCTTTGCTGGGAGATTAGAGACGTGTACATGACTCTGCTGCAGGTGAGTGTGCCTTTTTTTTCTTTTTGGTGGACTGTCATGGTTGATGTCACGGACAGGCTAGAAAACAGGTTCATAAACAGCAGAAAGCAGCATGGAGGCCAGTGAAATGTGACAGTGGTTACTTCTTTTTATATATCCCTGACTTAATCAGTCAATGTTTCACTGCTGCTTGCACAAAACAAGCAGTATTCTGGGGTGGCATGTCATTGCATCTCTGGAAAAGGAACTAAAATCAGTGCGTTCACTCCGACGTTTTATTTCCACCAGTGCAGATTAAGCTGGAGCTGATTTATACCTGTGTCTATTTCCACTGTGAAAAGTTGTGGATGGTACTAATGGAACCGTTCCATACCTTCCCCATTTTTGGTACCCCCTCTGTTGGGTTCCCTAGCACACAGATCTGGTACTAAAAGGTGGAGCTGTAAACACTGCAGTCCATTGATTAGTCAATAGCAGCTCTGCTCAGCACTGAGCTGTGGCTGGTTTTGACGCTCATGTTACCACTGTTCATACTGTGGAGGGTTTTATTAGTAAACTGTAACTATAAAATGAAAGGATGTTTTGCTGCCTCTAGCAGCAGCTGTAGTCAGAAAAAATGACTTAACTCACAGGGCTCACTGCGGGCAACTTTTAAAGTGGAACATTTACTTGTAATGCTACTCAATGAATGAGTTGAGGACGTAAATTGATCAACACACCTTAAATTTCACTATGACAACTTTGACCATCACTTTAGCTTTTATATGACATACACTTTTAGTAATTAGTGGATCTTCAAGTGTTTATATTTATTAATTTCAGCCGGGTTATGTGAGCAGCATATATTCTAATCCTCACTCGGAATATAAAGTGTTGCAGAGTGTCGTTCCTCTGGGCTCTGGCAACACTAAACTCCTGAGCTTGCCTGAGAAGAACTAAATGCACGAACCTGCTATTTTAAATATCCCATGGAGAGAGACTCTCACTGCAGCCTGTTCTATTTTGTTCAGAAAATGTCAGCATGCAGCTTTGTTCTGTGGACAATAACTGGGGTGCAGACTTCAATCTGTGTCAACAGTAATGAGGAAATACAGTAGCCCTTTTTAAACAGGAATTGTGCAAATTTGCAGGAAAGCCCAATCAGTCTTTTTTCAGCATTGGCAGTATAAAAACAAAATCGGGGAGTGCAGCAAAATGCCGCCTACCTGCTTTTGTTTATATAGAATGCGCCTTTTTCAGTACAATGGGGGGTGTGAACAAGTAACACAACGTGTAGCTCAGCATGTGATGTAACCAGTGATGTACTCCGAGGGAAGCCGCGGCTGGTCAGTCCTTTGGCGATTCTCTCGTAAGTCGGCCCGTTCTTCACCATTCCTGTCATCTGACGGTTAATGGCCTCTTTGTTTGCGAGGACAAGGAGGCTTCGCAATTCCTTGACTCCGCAGTTGCTCATCTTTACAGTGTCTTTCAGGTTTGTGTTTCCCTCTTGCTACTAGCTGCTCACTACTTCCTGCTATCAGCTGCTTCCTGTTTATTCACCGCCAGTGGCTCGCACGTTCGGCGTCATCAACAGCTCCTCCCACAAGTCTTCAACAGCCCCTCCCATTGCAGAAGGGCGCCTCGGTCTGTTTAAACTAAAAGGTTCCGCCAATATGGCTACCCTACGAGGCGGAAAATTGGGCACCTCGGATCAACTCGCCAATCCGGCTCTGTGTGTCTAAACGCTCGCAGCATGCCGGCAAAACGGCCCAACATTCATGGAAAATCTGGCAGTGTAAAAGGGGCTAGTGAGTGCTGGACAGAGCAGTGAGTGACAACAACCCCGCCCACATTTAAGAGTACCGTTTGCAGTGGAAACACTAGGGTCTAGGTACCATGTGTGAAGCGTGTGCTTGGTGGAAATGGGGCTTTTTTTTTTTTTTACCTGGGTATGAATGCCAATTGTAACCTTCCCATTACTTATAAAAGCCAGATGAGTGGTAGTAGGTTTTTTGGTAAAGGGGTTTTATAGAATTTCAGATTTGACTAAGCACTTAACTATTTGGGGAAATACGAGAGTTAAATGAGAGGATTACTAACACTCTCAACATGAGAAGTGGTATCAGTTACCTCATCTTGTTCAAGAAAGTGAATAAGCTCATATCCCAAAATGTTGACCCTTTTGATGTTGTCTGACAACTGTGCGCCTAACAGATATGCATCATTTATGAAATACAGTCACAGAGGATGAATTTTCATTGTTGTACTCGTGAAATTTAATTGAACAATTTCAGGGTGGATTAAGCAAAAAACATTCCTCTTAAATTAACAGTGTGTAAGACTGAGAGGGATTTAGTGGTATCTAGTGGTGAGGACTGTAGATTACAGCCAGCTGAAACATCCTTCAGTGTTCATTATACAGGAGGTTTTTGCTGGGAGCTGAATTATCCACAGAGGTCTCTTCCTCTCCAAAACAACACACAGGGTGATTTAAATCAGTAAAAACACTAAATAAAGCAGTTTCATGTGACAAATCAGTGTTTCTCCAACGTTGTTTGGCATGTCAGAGACAGGCTGCTAGCCCAGCACCTGGTAATGTGTGCTCACCATTTTTCTTTGATAACTTAGGATCCAGAATTTTAGGAGGTTTTATAACAGGAGCCGAATTATCTGCAGAGGTGTCTTACTTTCCAAATGATTTAAACTAGTAAAAATACTGAATTGTGGAGTCGCAGAAGGCTTTCTAACTTTGGCGGCCGATGTGAAATTGCGAATAGCCCAATCTAGAGCCAGTATTCGGTTTGCCCATTCTGGGCCACCATAGAAACATGGCAGTGAATGTGGCCATCTCCAGAAACAAGGACCAGCTTCCTATGTAAAAAAAAAAAACAACAATTCTTATTTTCAGGTGATTACACACAGACAAAAAAACACATGTATTATATTCTATGTCTGCCAATATATCCCCACACTGGACCTTTAAAGCGGTTGAACAGATGAAAACATGCTCTCAAAAGAAAAAGAAAAGTTCGGCTGTAATATTCATGATGTAAAACTCACAAATACAGTTGGAAAGTTTTAAAATTTACAGCGTTAGAGTATAGAGTATATCAGCATTGCAGTGTTGCACTGTCTGTGTCAGCAGAGGGAGAAGAAGCTTGAAATCTTTGTTCTGTTCTGTCATGTAAAAATAATTTTGTTTTGTCAAGTCAAATCTGTTCTCAAACATGTTATATTTCAGGCCTGGTAGCAGTGAGTGGGAGCTGAATATAACTGTTCCCATGTCAGTGGCAGCTGTGTATCGGGGGGTAGGCGAGAAGGGCTTGTAAAAACATGGCAGCACACAAGTGTGAGCAAGTGCCGTTAGTAGGAGGATGTGTTTACTCTGGCTGAGGTGTGAAAGACACTCTGCTGATCTGTCCACCAGGTTTATCTGGATGTCAGACTAGAGGGCAGCAAACAGAACACACACTGGAACTAATGATTTAATATGATGTAGTTTGACCTCAGAGATTTGGCTCATTAACGTAACGTTAGATTTAGGTTTCTATACTCAAGGTGGATTGGAGTAATGAAATATTATCAACACACCCAACAAGTCAACACTCAGTCCTTCCTCTCTACTTTCTGTTTCACCAATTACATTTTTGTCAGGTGATTGTGTAAAGTTTTTCTGTTGAATGTTATGTTGCGAATGTCACCCTCTTACAATTAGAGGAAATTTACTGTCCACCTCTGGCTGACCCCTCCGGCTCCAGCGATGTTTCACACCTAGGGTGCAGAATGTATCCCCCTCACCTGCTACCTCACTCACTGACATGCATACCACACAAGTTTAAGAAAAACTTGTCACACTCAACTTAAAGTGTATTTTTATCTGCCTGTGTTTTAAGTAAGTGAGTGAGTCTTAATTATCTTCATCATTTTTATCATTCCGATAATGTGACTTCATCTCATCGCCGAAAAGTCAACTGTGATGTCATAGAACAAGGAACCACAGGGCACATTTTGGGAAATATGATTGTTTTGGGAAACATCTTCATGTCCATGATGTCCCATGATTGTCTTTCACATGTGCAGTAGTGAACCAACTGTTGTGTGAGCAGATATAAATGGATTACAAATGAAAAGGAAACACCAACATAGTGTCCTGATGTCATGGGCAGATCATGAGACAATGGGGCCTGGAGCACAGATATGAAAAAGGCCCCATCACCTCTCCTACATTTGTGTCTCCTTGTGGTTATTTTGGCCCTTTTTGTAGTTCCTTTGCAACTGTTCGTGGTCATTTTGAGTCTCTTCCTGGTCAGTATGCATTCATTTGAGTGACATTTTGCAGGTGAAGACAAGGGGGGGCCCTCACACTTTGGGCCCCTAGGCTATGCCCTGTAGGTCTGTTCAGAAATCCACCCATGCTTGTAAGCTTTTTGCCTTTTGTTTTACTCATTTATTCATTTCTAATTTCTTTGTCAATAACATAATTATAACAACTGGAAGCATTTTGTGTTCTTGAATATTAACCAAAAAATATAGTTTATTATTTATCCTCAAGGATGAAATTTTTTTCCACATTAAGCGCACAAATAAATAAGACATACGAAATTATACAAAAATTATACAAAGGAGTCACAGACATGGATTGGCATTCTACACACCACATACTGGATTTCTTGTACAGCTAAAACAAGATTACTTATATAAAGCTTATGTGGTTATGGGAACAAAGCTCTTGATAAAATGGACCTTTCTGCACACGGGTAGCTGATACCTGTGTCCAGAAACAAAGGGGGGTGAAGTTCTGGTGGAGAGGATGATCTGGATCCTTTGTGACTGTGAGTGCTTTTCAGATCAGGGATGAGGTGACACAATTGGACAGGTCCTGGGGACCAAAGCAGTATGTTCCGATAGATTATTCCTCCATGCTGTGGCTATGATCTTTTATTCTTTGCTGTGTCACCGTTTACCGTGGCACCAACATGTCCCCACAGCTACCACTGAAATGATATCTAATTTGATATTATTCCAAGCAGAGGGAGCACACTGGAGGTCGTGGTGGGGTTGATGCACTCAGGAGGGCCCAGACAGGTGGCAGGCAGCCCAGCCTCAGAGCCTGCTGTGGGTGCGTCGTCCACCCAGAGGTGCCAAACTCCCAGTCAGGCTCCCACAGCCTCGCCTTGGTCAGGGTGACTGGCAGGGTCACAGTGTGGGTTCAACCCCAGTTCACCCTGCCCTCAGCCTGACATGACACACATCTTACAATTATTTTGTTGTCTTATATTTTATCTTTTTTCACCTCACCACCCCTCACTGTTCAACCTAGTTTTCATTATTTAGGCTCCCTGGAGCTGGCAGGTCTTCAGTGTTCCGGTCAAAGGAACTAAAAAAGGCTCCAAGCTGAAGGACACCCTCTATAAAAACCAGACAAATTCAGCATTTTGGACCCTTTTGTGTTTCATGTTTTTGTTTCACAGAGTATTTTTTTTAGTTATCTGCATTGCTGCAAGCCATTTCTCCATCAGGGATGATAAAACCCTTCATACCGAGCCAACTACAAAGTGCTGCTGTTTTCATGGAAACTGAACTGTGAAAAATCAGAACTGTCCACTGTGTTGAATACAGATGAGATTTATGTCAGGAGTGATGTTACAATGATTTAATAAACAACATAGATTGATAAATAACACAGACAAATTGCCTCATGGCTCAAAAAAGCAGCTGCATGCACTCAGAGCGGTTGGGGAGAAACAAAGTGAAAAGCATAACTTCACTGACTCAGCATTCACCCACACATTATTGAAGGAAGAACTGAAAACTTGGGCTGGTGGTTATGTTGATTTTCTCTAAAATTCAAAATATCCCATCTCTATATGTTCTAATTTGACCAACTAAGCACTTTAGTTCAATATTGTCCATGTCAAATATCTCAGTGTGCTCCTGCAAAGCAACAAAAGATAGAACATCACCATTTCTGAGTTCAAATGCATCACTCTTTCTAAATAGATTCGATGCTAAAAACAAAACCTGGTGAAACACAGGGAAACACAGGGAGAAGAGGGGTGAGATGGGGACAGAGAGAGGGTAGCAGTGGCAGTATTTTCCAGCGTTCCCGGTTCTCACAGCTGAGGTGTGAAGTGACACCTCCAGACTCATCAGTTCTCATCAGCGTGAAACCATCACGCCTCTGCTTTAACTGGATAATACACCTCATTAAGCTTCATTATAAAAGTATTTACATTTACATTTCAACCATGTAGGACACAGGTTTCTATCCAGAAGCACAAACAACAGGAGCAGCAGCAGCAGTAGCAATGGAGGAAGCTTCACTCCCAAGATCAAGATAAAGGCAGTGAAGGGCTCAGAGATCACAGTCTGACTGGCTGTGACAATAAAATGATCATGCTGGTGAGAAGTGCTGGGATATAAAGTGAAGGAGATCAAGTGAAGGGCACAACACACTGATGTCAGGTTCAAGGTTGGAGTGAGGTGAGGAGGAAGAAGCATGAGAAGGCAGTTTCACCCTACAAAGAGGACATGAATCATCTCTGCTCTCTTGCAGCAATAATGAGAAATTTCCTGACTTCTCAGACATGGACATAATGACCCCAGCCTCTTCAGTGCTTTGGTTTGCCTGCTTATGTACGCTTACAAAATAATCTAAAAATCATTTATGTTGTGTCTCAGGCACAAAGCATGCTGCGTTGACGCAGAGCCCACACCATAACCTACGCCATAGCCTGACGTGCACCTCCCCAGAAATAACTACACTTTGCTGCGATGCAGACCTCCTGTCTAATTTTGTAAACCGAAACCATTTCCCTCAGTGGAAATGAAGCTTTTACTTACTGTTAGTTCACAGAGAGGAAACATGAATTGTGAAGACAATAATGCCTCCACAAAATAGCATTTTAAGTCTTGTGTGATTTATCCTGGCTTCATATGGGTAGAGGAAATCTCTGCTAATTGCTAGGCTAATTAAGACAATGTAAAATGGCATACACTTGTGCTAATAATGTTAGCATGTTGTATTTGTTTGGAAAACGTGTTTGGTCTAAGACATATATTTTGCCGGTGAACCTTGTGAGTAGTAATGGAGCCCAATTTTGTAATGTTACCTTTGTTTAATGTTGCTGTTGTCCTGAGTATCATATAAGTAGAGCTAATCTCCACTAATCGCTAGGCTAATTTACACAATGTATAATGCCATAGGCTTGTGCTTATATCATTAGCATGTTGTATTTGTGGGGAAAATGTGTCCAGCAAAAGACAAGTATTTTGTCTGTGAATCTTGCAAGTTATAATGAAGCCAATTTGTGTACTTGTAATTGAAACTGTCTCTACTAAGCCATGTTTAATGTGTGTTTTGGGTGTGTTTTGAATCAACTAAATACAAAGCACAAGTATGAATGCTCACACCGGCATAGGCCACATGCCTAAGCTACGGCGTAGGCTCTGTATAGAGCTGACACACAAGTATAAATCAGCCTCACGCTTACACCTTCTTGCTAAAACTGGGTGTAAATCAGTTGCCCAATCAGTGGCAGGCGTAAAGTAAAATATCTTGGCCCTTTATCAGCAGCCTGATAAAGCCTTCAACACAAGAGTGACAAACCTTGAATGACAACCCGCATTAGCTTTCCTGCTGAAGTCTTCTTTTTCTCTCACTTATTTACAAACATGTTGAACAAGCTGACATTCACCAGGGAAAAGTGCACTGCTAATGTCAGTTATCAAGCTAGATAGCTGGCGCATTAGCTGCCCAGATGCAGCACGTTTAGAAGCAGTATATAAATGTACCTGCAAATGGCACTTACATGGTCCTTACTCTTTAATAGCTCTAACAACACACTATCTTACCTTAAATTGTAAGCTACAGTCAATTTTGTTTGCTTTTTCTCTCCTTTCACATTAGCTGTCAGTCATACACAGCTGTGCCTCTCCTGTACAGCTCTATTAGTCTTTGTATCTTGATGTCAGTGAAATTCTTGTTCTCTAATCCATAATAACGTTGCTGCAAATAATAAATGATGAGCTACATATCAACAGGACAGCAGGAGGATGTTAACAATGTATCTTAGCAAAGCATGTGCTGCAAGGCAATAGCAAGACATGTTGTAAACATTCATATGAACACACACCACTAAGACCGGGTGTAGTTAAGACTAAGATTAAGTGTGGCTGGTGCAACCAATATTAAGTCCATTCTAAAGACCAACTCAGCACCATGCTTAGTAAAGACCAGCTGATGCAACCCGCTCCATGAATCATAATTCAGAGATGCAAATTCTGAAAGACAACTTAAAAAGGGAGACATGATCCATATCTACAGTCCTCTTGATAAAAATGTTAACATCAGACCATCTGTGTGATGTTCATTTAATTAATGAACCTTTTTTCTATCATAGCATGTAGGCCTAATGCTATAGTAAGTTACCCTCACGTGAACGTATACTGTCTTTCAAGATTAATAACAATTTATTACTGGTGGAAGAGACACTTAATTGAGGTAAAATTAGCAGTATTACAAAGTAAAAATACTCTGTTGCAAGTAAAAGTCCTACATTCACAGTTATATTACAGTACCACAGTATAGCAAAATGTCAGAGTATCAAAAGTATCACAAGTAAAAGCACTCATTATGCAAAACGATCTCTTTTCGGAAAAGATTATTATTATTTATGCATTAACATGTAAGTAGCATTTTAATGTTTTAGTTGGTTGAGGTGGAGCTGATTTTAACTCTAAGTTAATAAACACATTCAGTTCAGACTTGTTCACCATGTTTAGATCCTGAGATTATATATTTGAACACTGGATTTTTATGCATTACTTTGGTGGTAATCACTCTCAGATCCTTACTGAGTTTAATGTTTCTTTTCCTAAATTTTAAATAATTTCAACTATATATATATATATTTTTTTTTTTTTTTTTCTTTTTTTTTCTTTTACATTATTGGTGATGGGATTTTATTTGTGTTTTACCGGTGCAGAAACAAGTAAAGTTAGCATTTGATCACAAGTTGGAAAAAATACTGAAACATCATCAAGTGCTTAATAAAGATTATGGGAGTTTTAACCTGGTGTGACATTGCCTGTGTCTATCCAGGTATAAAACAATAGATTTATAGTTTTATTTTTGCAGTGGATGACTTCTTTACACTTTCCTATTTATTGTCCAGTTCAGTGACCAGTATTTTCACTTTAAAAAGTGAATGTGGGAGAAATCAGATCTTTCAAAACAAACCCTGTCCCTTAAACATGTGCAAAATGCATCTTGGTTGCTGCAGGGACAAAAAGCAAAAACTGTTTATTGTTTTGAGCAGGAGTCAAAATTCACACTCCCACTCCTGTAGCTGAATTTTCCCAGACACAGAGGAGAGGGAGAGGAACTGAGACAAGGTCCCAGTGAGGGAGCGTGTGTGTGTGTGTGTGTATGTTCAGGGGCAGTGGCCTCTGCTGTAGACAGTGATGGTTTGTGAGAATCTGCGGAGGTGTCACTTCACACCTCTGTGGCCTGGCCTGGACTTAAAAACCAGTGCCACAGACCTGAGCAGCACTCCCAGCCTCAGTCTCTCCACACAACATGGATACCTCGTCAGTGCCTCTGCTCAACTACGGCCTGCAGTACCAGTGGTGTTCTGACTCGGATCTCTCCAGCATCTCCTCTTCAGAAACCCTCTCCCCTGTTCCCTCTATGGATTCCAGCCTCTCTCCTTCCTACCAGCAGCTGCCACAGTCCACTCCTAAGGCAGCCAAGACTGGATATTCCCAGACTCTCAAATCCTCACCCTGCTCCCATTCTGGACGTGGCCGGAAGACGGGCCGAGCCACCCGGATGCGCAGCAAGCAGAGGGAGAGCGCCAGCGAGAAGGAAAAGCTGAGGATGAGGGATCTGACCAAGGCTCTGCATCACCTCAGGTCCTACCTCCCGCCCTCGGTGGCCCCTGCCGGACAGACCCTGACAAAGATAGAGACCCTCCGCCTTACCATCCGCTACATCTCCTACCTGTCGGCCCAGCTGGGCCTCAGCGAGGAGGTGCTGTTTCAGAGGAGGGAACAAGGAGACACCTCGGCCAGTGACATGTCCTCACCTGACATCCTCAGCTACTTCCAGCACGGGTCCATGGGAGGACAGGGGGCCCAGCTGCAGAACCAGAGCCTGTACCCAGCCCAGTGTCACAGCCAGAACACCATGCTGCATTCTGGGAACTGTAGTTTTGGTGTGGATCAGTACAGTGGACAGTACATTGAAGCTCCTCAGGGAGACATGAGCATGGATACCATCCTGCAGTCACCTCCAGCAACACAGCCCTGCTGTCAGGTATGTCAACATTTACTCATTAACATAATTCATATGGATATCACACATCATGCTTTTTTTTTTTTTTAATTAAAAAAATACAAAATACTAATCAAATTTCCTGTTGATTCTTTAATACAGATGTGTGGCAAAGACTTCTGCATGCCGCTGGTTCCCAGAGAATACTGGGGTTAAACACCCCAACACATCATCATCACCACCATCATCTTCATCATCCAACAACAGACACAAACTCTGTTTTAACTGCCTCACTGTGAAACAAGTAATTTATTTATAATATATATACTATACTACATTTTATTTATTTTGTCCTGTGAAATGTTCGATGTAAATATTGATATGTCTAACAACTATTTTTCTATTTCTTTATACCACTATTTATAATAAAAATGTTAAAATGCCTCATGTGTTGTCATCATTTGAAGTCTTGTCTCCATGATGCAGTGCAGTTTAACTCGTGGTTGTACTGGTTAGCTCCCAGTTTGTATGTGAATGTGAGGTAGGATGGAGCCCAACGAGAAATAAATGCTACAGTGCGCCCTCTGCTGGTCATGAAGGCACACTGGCACCTCATAAGATGAGAGCAGCTTCTCATCTGGATGATGGATCTCAGTGGGAAACATAAAAATACACAAAAACCATAAAATGGCAAGCCTAACTATAAACTGAAGAGATTCAATATTGGGTTGTGAGGTGGTTATAAACGATATTTTTATTATAATAATGTATCAAATAACAACATGACAATGTGAAATGGGTTGCTTGTAGTGATTAAGCTTCAATAAATTACCAGACAGCAGACAGACACAGTTAGAGATGAACTGGTGAACATATAGTGAAGCATTAAGCAGCTAAAGAGCCAGCCATTCACTCAGGAGTTGTTAAAGACCAAAAACTGACCTGAAAGGAATGCCGCTGTTACTCTGCAACTGCTGGATGTGTAAATAAGCGACAAGTTCGCCATATCAGCTTAAACAGTGCACTTGCAAATGACTAAAGATGGTTCATATTTTATAATATAAGTAGTAATAATAATAGTAACACAACTGATGATATTAAAATTTAGAGGATGTGTTCATTTGCAATTCTCGAAACACTTAAACTCATAACTCCTACTAAAAAAAGCCCCCATAGGTGACTACTCCAAAATTGTCTAAACCTCCTTAGATCCTGTGTCCTCATATGGGGACATCACAGTTTGGGTTTACTTAACCTTATACTTCATTCTGCTTAACTTAGACCTGTTGCAGTCTGCAGCCGATCCCGACACAAAATTGGACCAGGTGTGTACAATGTTCGTAGTTTGATATGCCATACAAACTTTACCAATTTTAGCAACACTAACAAGATAATACACTTTTAATTAGAAAGTACTCGTTGGAAATTGGGGTTATATTATCATCTTGTTTAAGGACATTGGGATGTAATTATCATTGACAATATTTTGTTTTTTATACTTAACAGGTCCCACTGATCTCAAAGGAGAAATTGAAAATGCATCCCAAACAAAAGTTCGGGTCTTATGAGGTTACAGGATAAGCTCAAATATATTTCAAATCTTTCAGAAAACAATATTCAGATAAGATTTATATAAACACTGAAACAGCATTTACTTCTCCCTTGCTTCCAGTGTGTTGATGTGATGTGGGGCAAAAATGTATTCCAAACTTTCCCTGAAGCTTTTATGAGGCTTCAAATCATGTTGATAGTTTCCAAAGTTACAGTCTTTTTAATACAAAACTCAGCTAAAGAAAAGGAATTTCATACCAGAAAGGTTGTTACATTGAAACATACTTGCTTTATTTGATCAACTTAGACAGCTGAGGTCTCATATTATCTTCAGATAATCCTCTGAATATATTTTTGCACAAAAGGAGAACTGTTGATTTGATCACTTGCATTAGAAGAATTATTACATCAAAAAAAAATCTTTCATTGTTTATATAGTCACCTGAAACACTAAAAATTGTGAAGCTAATCCTTTCTTACCACTTTGTCTGAATGAATCATATATATTCTGTATCAGCTTGTTACAGTATATCTCCTCACTGGAGCTACAGCACATGTTTACACACTGAGTGACATATTCCTCCCCAATTTAATAATGATGGCACCATTCAGTCACATGGAAATATTGTGACAGCTGCCTGGTGGCCTTAAGGTTGAGACAGCTATCATGAAGCTCAGTTTGAATCCATCCAGCGGCCTGTGTTGAATACCATCAAAGCCCTCTGAGCCAGAGATAAGTTCCCCCAAAGGGACAATACAGTATTTATTATCTTCTCTCTCTCCTTCCCCAGTGTTTCCTGTCAGCATCTTTGCTGTAAGCTATCTAATTAAGAAAAAACGCCAACTAATAATCTTTTAGAAAATAAGGAAGTATTCCCGTGGTCTTGTGCATCATTTTTGTTCACATTTTCAGTTCAGAAAATAAAAACTTTTTTCACGGCGGCCATGTCGACCGGTCATACTGCAGCAGGAAAAGCACAGGTGTTAGTATTAACTTTAATGATAGCACCCTCAAACTGAAGCCAAAACGATAATTCTATTATTTACACCTTTGCTTTTCCTACCATGACATGTCAACATGTCCTCTGTGAAAACAATAATTCTTCACAAATCATGCGCACTATAAATGTCAAAGGCAAAAAAATAATATGCCACAGAGAAGCCATACATATGTAAATATAACTGGCCATAATAGGTTACAAAAATACCTTAAGCATGGAATCAAGTAACATTACCAAATCAGGAAGTCCTTCCAGACACCTTATAATAGTTTCCTCTCGTGGTCTGAAGCCTGTGATAAATGAGTTGTCTGAGGTTTGTTCCACAGCAGACCAGAGATCAGCCTCTGTCACAGGTTATCTAGTTTATTTAGTGTATCTTTGTTAATGGGGCTCTGCAAACACAGAGAGGTTCTTGGCACCGCTAAGTCTAGACTAAGATATAAGATCCTCCCTGCTCATTCCCCCTTTCTCTCACCTACAGCCCTAATTACCTGCTAGAGCCAACAGAGAGGGCTTTAATATTCATAGAGAAGTGTGGACCTGCATAGCAGGCAGGGGAATTAGGCCTGAGTGTTTAGTTTGCCACATACATGCAGTTCATTTGATATGCAAGCAGCAAACCTGAGGAGACAAAGCCTAATATACTCACCTAGGTCTTTCATCACAGAAAAGCTAATAAAGTCTCTGGCCTAAAAGGGTTTGGGATGAAAGGGTTAACACTGCTGTGCTGATTATTCACTCATTACATGTGAGTAAACATCATCAGAGCTAATGTGGATTAAAAGAAGACAGATCCCCTGCATCATCAGCCTGGGAGGGAAAGAAGAGAGCTGACAGCTGGGGAAACTCTGCAGAAGGTTTACACTGGAAAATAATTATCAGCTCATAGTTTATCATTTCAAACGAATACGAAATTGATGAAAAAATATGCACAAATATTTAGAAAAATAATAATTATTCACACTTTAATCAACAAAAGACTAAAGTGCTAGAATTAGTTGTAATAAGTGCTATCAGTTTATTTTATGAGTACCACTCTCATCAGAGGAGAGATAATTCAGTTTTGAGTGCTTGTGTTAAATAAGTAACCTGTGTGTTACAGAGCAACAGGTCAGTGGAAGGAAAATGACAATTGTTCATGTAACTAAAACAGATTAAGACTGGGAGTGGCAGAAATATGAACGCCAAGTTTTCTCTGGCAGTATTTTAATGTCACATAATGACGTGGGTGGAGGTTAAAGGTCACTGTGGGAACTGGTCCTCCGGTCAGCTGTCAAGTCTGGTGTCACCCCACACACTCTTCAACTCAGAACAAATAAAAAAACTAAACCAGCTTTAGCAGAATCTGCTTTAGTGACTTTTAGAAATGTTGGTTTTCAAAAAATGTCCCATGTTTGCTCTGGATGTTTATCTGGATTCGGATGTCTGTTTTTCTTGCATGACTAAGGTGGTGCAGAGCTGTGCGAGAGCGGTTCACACATCCTGCTCATTGGTTTCACCTCTGCTTCAGAGCAGGAGTCAAATGTGACGCGGCGGTTTGTGGGAACGCTGCCCAGGACTCAGATCCACAGTCGACACCTGACGATCAAATATCAGAGAGAATCCAGTGATCTGTGAGTTCTTCTTACAGCATGGAAGGATTCGGAAATTGTTTTGAACATCTTAATTCGGATACTAACAAATCACTGAGAAGGTCAGGACTGACTCTATTAAGGATCTGTAAGGTTACACCATCAACTTCCTGTCAGCCTTATACACATTTAACCACTGTGCAAAATGTAGCATGTTTTAGGCTATACTTTGGTGTATTTTACTTTATGTTATTTTAAATGCAACTATCCAAAATTAAATACACGTGCAGAAAACTGTGCACCAATATTTACACACTTAGATGAAATACAGCAGTTAGTGAACCAGAACATTTAGGAGATCAGTGGTAAGAGATGCTACATGGTAATGACTTTTTTTTTTACAAAAAAATAAAATCAATAAAGAACAAACAGTTTTTCACCAGTAGCCAAATTATCCACAGAGGTCTCCTCTGCAACACAAATAGAACAGGCAATTATAACCGGTAGAAAAACTGAATAAAGCTGTTTCACGTCACTAATCAGAGCTTCTCCGATGGTGTTTGGCATGTCAGAGAAGGGCAGCTTGCCCACCAAGTGCCATGGTGTGCTCACTCTTTATCTGATCCAGACCTTTAGTAGGTTTTTACTGGGAACCGAATGATCAGCGAAGGTCACCTCCTCTCCAAAACAAACAGACCCTGTGATTTAAGCAGGTAGAAACACTGAATAAAGCAGATTCACATTATCATTCAGCGTTTTGCCGATGCTAGTGGTCGCAGATGGGCTTCTAACTACTGTGGCTTACTTGAAAATGAGAAAACAAGAAAACTCGAATGGCCCCATCTAGAGCTAGTGTTTGGTTTGTTCGTTCTGGGCTACTGTAGAAACATTACGGCGAACATGGGTTGGAGATCTCTTTTGAAAGGGAGACCTGGACATGACAGTGTTCTTAGTAATAAATAACTAAATGGCCAAGTTCAGTTCAATATAAAGTGTGTTAGTAGTCCTGCAAATTCTTCCAGGTGGATCAGAGTTCCCAGGACAGGGAGGCCTACTGCTGTCCAAACAGGATGAAGTGTAAACTTCTCACACCTCACAGCTGCCTTGGCACACTTCTCCAGCCTGACCTTGTAGGGGACATCAGGGCAGAAAGAGAGAGCGGCTCTAATGAGAGGCAGAACTGCCATCTAACTTCAGTGTAAAGAACGTTTAATGTACATGAATGATGATGGGGCATAGTATTGACCACTGTGTTTGGTTGAACCGGAGGCCTTACAGTTACATGGCAATGATTTTGGATTATTGGATATTTCTGGTCACAGATCATGTAGCTGCTTCCAGTCACAGCCCATGGCACTCCAGATTTCTAATAAAAAATCCTCAGGAGGATTTAGAGACAGACCCGTGACCCAGGTGAAGCCCCTGTCATGGCAGGGTCATGTTCCCAGGCTGCAGGAGTGTGTAGTGTGAATTTGCCATGATGCCTGTGCGAGCTGCCAGGTCACACCTTGTGCTGGAGCTGGCATGTTTCCCATGGGACCCCCTGGCCTAGGTGTCGGCCCTGCTCCCAGAGCTTCTCAGGACCTGAGGTGGCTGCTGGAGGTGCAACCTCACACCTCCCACCACATATATGGAGCAGCCTCTCTGGTCCTCTTCACTATCCTCTGCCTGCCTCATCAGAGACACACTGACAGCTCACTGCTCAGGGAAGAGCTTACAACCACAGCATCGACTTCACCCACGACGACAACAGCAGCTATGGATGTGTCCTACTGCTCTGCTCTCCAGCTCCAGGATGACTCTTTCCTGTTTGACGGCAAGACCCTGCTGGACAAGTCTTACGATCCTCTGGCCTATGATCCAGCCTCAGATCCTGGTTACTTCAGTGCTGGCAGCAGCCTGTCTCCCACCTCTTCTGTGGACTCCTTCTGCTTCTCCCCCACCTCCCTCCAGGCTGCTGGAATTGAACAAAATGCTTTGGAGTGTTTTGTCTTCAAAAGCCCTTCAGCACCTGGTCTTACCCATGAGAATCAGACTCTGCCCTGCTCCAAATCCTCCACAGCTGCCTCCACCACAAAGAAATCCAGGTCCAGGTATCCGGGGAAGAAGCGCCACACAGCCAGTGAGAGAGAGAAGCTGAGGATGAGGGATCTGACCAAGGCCCTGCATCACCTCAGGAAATACCTGCCGCCCTCAGTGGCACCAGCCGGACAGACCCTGACCAAGATCGAGACGCTGCGCCTCACCATCCGCTACATCTCCTACCTGTCCGCTCAGCTGGGCCTCAGCGAGGAGGTGCTGGAGCAGAGATCCTCAGGCTTTGTGGAGCAGCCCCCAACCCTTAGCCAGTTCCTGGGTCAGCCAATGGCCAGCTACAGCCCACAGGAACCAGACTGTCACACAGTGAGCACAGCCCAGCTGTCCTCTCTGCAGCCCTCATATCAGGTATGTTCATGTCATGGGCATTAGCCGTTATACTTTTTAATAATTAATGGTTAAAGAGAATTCGCTTTACAATGGCCGTGTTTATTCATAACCTACTCTTGTAGAATCCAGAGTGTTAGCTGAATGAGTTCATAACCCAAATCTGTTTTCTGTCATCAGGTTCCTAGCGGAGTTTGTTTCACCAGTCAGCAGTACTGGATGCCACAGCAACAACTTCAAAACGCCACCTTCTCTGGACAGTGCTGAGACATACGGCAATCCGTCCACTCAACTATTTTCATTGCAACAATGACCTCTAACAAAATTTATGGACAAAAATTCTCGTTTTTTGTTATTTTGAACAAAATATATTTCTGTGTCTTTTTGTATTAAACTGTGTATTTATTGAGCTTTCACCATGTGAACAGAATAAATGTAATTTATCAAAATAATCCTTGAGTTTCTTGCATTCATCCAACATGCATTCATGTTTGTCTCTTTCTGGTTTATTATTTCTTATGTATTAATCAAATGAAATCATACAGACTTGGTGCTTGGCCTCTACTTCCTTACACAAACACTACAGCTGTCAGCAGGACAATGAGGTGCTAAACAGCGAGCACATCCCCTCTAAAGTCCTGAAGGAAAGACCCCTGCTGAGAGAAGCGGCAGCTGAACTAGGACCAGTTAATTGGCACCTTTTCTATCCTGTGTAAACATGGCTGCTAGTTGACACCATGGAAGAAACCTCATGATAAATATCCAGCCCGGGATAAAAGGGATAGTTCAGACAGCCCGTTCCAACACCTTCAGTTCCCATTAAAGGTTCTCATCAAAGCCACCAGACGTCATTGAAAAAAGAGTAATTTTGGCTCTCTGAACATGGAAGCTGCTGGTTGTCGGCTGCCTCAATCAGTTAGTTTGTTTATGCTATTGTGTGACTTTAGTGAATCTAAAGTATCCCTTTTACATGCCAAAATCACAACATAACCCAAACAAACTGACTGAATAAGGCTGCAGTTGACCAGAAGGTCCTGTGTTCAGCGATGTGAAATCTCTGTTTTTCTCAATGGACTCTGGCTTTGAAGAGAACCGCTTCAATTCCTCATTGAAAATTGCTGTCTGATGGTGAGATAAAGCACTGATAATATTCTAAATTTAGCATACACTTAAACTGATATTGGTTCTTGGGTAGCTGAAATACATTTTGTTGCTGACCCTGGCCACAGAAATAGATTGCTTAATTTCTGTGTTAAACTCCAGCCTGCTTCTCCAAACTGGGGACATGCTGACCACAATCTATGTGATACAGTCCCACTGCAAAAGATCCAAACTATCCCTGGTAAGCTGGTTTTATTTCACTTCCACTTCAGATTGTCCCTTCCTGTTCTGAGGTGTTTCTCTGTACTGTCCATGTATAATTTATATCTTAATATTGACAAATTGTGTCTTAGTCATTGAAGATAGCGGCCCACTTTGTGGATTGATGTTTTACACTGTTGCTATGTTCCTGAGACATAGCAACAGTGTGATGTGATGTTCCTGAGATGCCTCGAGCAACTTTACTAAATAACTGAAACTGTGTGGACTTTTATTTTTTAGTTGTGCATTTTACATTTAAATGGACTTTATTTTCCCTGAAGTGCTTATTTTCTTACAGAACACAAACTGGGGTCACAACCTTTGTAAAATCTCCAGGATGGCCTCAAAGAAAGTTTCTGTCTTCTCGCTGTTTCTTTCAGAGGAGATAAACATCCAAGCTGATTCAAAATACTATTTAAATGTGCAGGTAAAAAAAAAAGTCAAATCTTATTATGGCTTTTATTTCATAGAATGACACAAGATGCAAAAAATATTTGGGTTAGCACAGAATATCACACTTCTGTGTTGTGACATTCATTCAAAATCTTGAAACCCCTCTAAAACCTTTCAAATGTTGACAGTATGTACAATATATTTGGTTCCAGCTGGAGTACATGTCAGTAAAACAATCATACATTTGAAAACTGTGGAGAGTGTTAAATTGGAGAAGAAGCTTCACTGGTGAACCAGTAAAGCACCTGTTCCTTGTTCATTGCCACCCAGACACAGGTGATTCTGATTAGCTGATTAAACCTCCACTAAGTCCTGCTTGTTTCTGTATTACTACTGCTACTACAACTACTGCTGCTATGCTAACACAACTACTACTACTACTACTACTACTACTACTACAACTACTACAACTAGTGGTACTACTAAAACTACCTCTACTATTACTACTATTTCTGCATTTTCAACTGTGGAGAGTGTCACTCTGGAGAGGAAGCTTCGCTGGTGAACCAGTTGAGCACCTGTTCCTTGTTCATGGCCACCCAGTTTATGTTGGCTTTGGTTCTCTCCAGTGCCTGATCAAAAGACGCAGCGGCTGAGCCCAGCTGCCCTGCATTGTCTTCTTTGAACTGCAGCAGCTGGAGAGGAACGAGGGGAGGGCGTTAGTGGGATTCAATTTTACATGTAAAGTACAACACTAAAAAGCATGTCACCATAAACACAAATAAACAAATTACAGGATTAGGATATAAGAACTTGTTCTCCATATTCATATCTATTTAACAATGCATGGAGTATATGTTTATCCTGTACCAGATACACAGTACATTGCGAGCATTAGTCTAGTTACTAATATTAAATAACTTTTTTAATATAAGGTCCTACATTAGTCATTAGTTAGTCATTAGGTCCTACAGTAAACATCCAGAAATACTGAAGAAACTGTACCTGATTGTATTCAGACTTAGAGGAGAATCGTTGGGTCACTCCATTAATTAGTTTGTGAAAGGGAAATGAGTCACCACCATAGCTGAAGAAAAGCAAAAACAAGACAGGCTTTGATCATTTTGCAAACATCTACAGGCTGCGTAACCAGAACTGTTGGACATTTTGATATCATGACTAAAAAGACAAGACTGGAAGGCTACAATGCAGTGCTAACAGGCAGATGTTTAACTGTGTTAGCATGTTAATGCTAACTAGCAGAGGATTACATCTTGATGGGAATGGCATTAGTTGCTGGGATTTGGTCGTAAACCAAAGTATTGGACAAAGTAAAATGTTGTTAGATAAAAATCAGAGGATTACCAAACCATCCAAGATTCATCCTTTGGACACTGAGGACATCTGTGCCAAGTTTCACGGCAAACCATCCAAAAGTTTTTAGATAGATAATGTAGTCTGGACAAACACCACCTAAAAATTATCCTTTTGCCTCCATAGCATCATGTTTTACCCTGACCTCTTCCAGCTGAGTTTACTGTAACAATATAAACATGTGTGCATCAGGGAAAACTCACTCATTGTATATATAGTCCCATTTGGCTCTGAGAAAGTCCCATGCCAGAGGTTGACCAATGGGGTTACTAGCAATGGAACTTATGGTGGAGGTCACATCTTGCTTACGGATCATCTTTGGGTCCAGACAATACTCAAGATACCTGAAACACACACAGAGTGAGGACAAAAGCCAACTGTGTCAACTGCACTATTTCCTGCAGTTTTTAATGCAGGACCATTGAAATCCTGCAGTAACCATTCTCCAATCCATTCAACCATTCATGCTGCAGAGTGCAAAATGACCTGAAGGAGAGCAATGAGGGAACAAGTAATATCCAGCATGATGGCAACACTACTGACCTGTTCAGCAGCCAGGGCTGTTTGGTGCAGGACAGAGCGGACATGAGTTTATCAGCCTCTGAAGCGATGGTGGCGTTCTTGTACATGGACCAAGCAAAGTCCCACTCATCCACTCCTCCTGCTGCAATCGCACTGCAGTACACTGTGTACTTCAAGTTGGGATTAATGCTAAAAACAATTGATGGAGATGATAGAGAGTGACAGTGTCAGAACCCTCACCCCTCAGCATTTATATATTGTTGGTGCCACTGTTGCAAAGACAATCAGATCGCTTACCTCTTTCCTCAGAGCCTGAGGCCCTGTTTAGACGACAACAGTTTCTCTAAAAACGGAAAAGTCTGTCCTTTGTGTTTTAAAAAACTTCTGCGTTTATCTGACGACGTTATTGAAACGATCCCCATTCACACGGAGCCACAAAATCTACTGGAAACGCTGTAGTATGCACGCCAGGCCAATGGGTGGCAGTGTAAATTTGCAAAGCAACACCACGCCATGCGCCTGCGCTGAAGCGCCTTCCGCTACAACGCAGTGATTACAAACCAAAACAAAGAAGACACAATGGCGAAAGCATGCACAGATAACTTTGTCTGGATGGACAACGAGTTGGAGTTGCTACAGTAACAGATCTACACTTCACTTGAAAAATAAACAGGGTGAGCGGCACAAACAGAGCTCGGCATTGTTGTTGTGACGGTCGACTTTCTCACGCATGCCTAGTGACTGGAACCGTAATGTGCATGTGCGAAAAGTCTCCGTTTTCAGAGGAACTGCATATTGCAAGTTTACATGACAACAGAGACGCCATTTCCAAAAAGTTGCACTCTGGAACCTGTTTTCAAAACGCTGCGTTTCCAGGCACCCAAAATGCCGCTGTCGTGTATATGATCGGCCAAAACACAACTAAAGTTTACCGTTTTCAGTTGAAATCGTTGTCGTATAAACAGGACCTAAAACTACCAACAACACACTGCATTCTGGTTTTTATTGTTACTTCGATGGTTCTACCGTCTGTCATTTCCACTGTTGGGGCTAATGTTGATACTCCCTATTAACTGGGGATAGCTACCAATGGCTACCAGGGAAAACAACAGTACTATTCTCCTCCTGTTTTGATGCACTTCCTTTGTGCTGTAAATCAAGATGCCATTTTCTCTGGAGATTGCACCCAGTGGTAGACAAAATTGCATAGTGAAGGCAAGGCTTATAAGAAACCAGTCTAAACACAGATGGTGTCACTATTCTATAGTGATTACACTGTACTATCAACATTCACTTCAAATTGATAAGTTAAAGCAAACAAACTTGTCTATTTCCACTTTGAGAGAATATGGAAAAGAAAGAAAGAAAGAAAGAAAGAAAGAATGAAAGGAAAGTGTGGGATGTGAGCATACTTGTTGACAGCTGGGTCTTTCATCCACTCTCTGAACCAGCCAGTGGTCAGCTCCTTACAACCTTCCACACCAGTTTTGCAGGCCAAGGAGATAGCATTTATCTGGTTGTACCTGGACATGAGATAATACAACGGTCAAAAGAATGTTTGAGAAGGGTCAAACCTCAGAACCCCAAGTCTGCAACCTAGTGGGAAGAGAGTTGGGTTCCCATGTGTGAAATGGTACGCTTGCTTCCTTGTAGTGTCTTTTTATTTTTCCAGTTTATTTTTATCAGTGGTGTGCATAATGTGTAAATGGATTTAGTTACATTTAAGCATATTGCTTTTATACAACAGTTCAACAGTTAAATAAGCAAGGCTGATTAAGAAATGTTGAAAAATGAGGACAAAATAGATAATTTAAGCATTTTATTTGTCTTCTGCCAACAAAAATAGTTCCCTCAGGACTCCGCTGTCACCGTTGCTATGTAACGCAGACATAGTGCGCCAGGCACTTACTCTTTATACACATTTATCTGCACGTTTCCATTAATTGTGCAGCCGGTGAAATAAGTCTGGTGACTGCATGGTGGACTGTCGCTTCACAGGCACAGCCGACTCTGCCTTCTGATCTGACTGTATGTTGCTTTTCTCCAAGTCATTGAGCTCCGCTGATGAAACACTGACAAACCTGGATGTGTGCTCAGATGGATTCAGCTTCTCCTCTCCCTCATCTTCCTCTGATGACCATTCATGGTTGAATTCAAAACTTATTTTAGGAAATAAATCCATATTTTTGGCTGTTTGACAGTGGATGAATTAATTAGCCTACAACGCAACTGCTGACCTAACTGACACTAACCGTTAGTTTTGATTTGATTGTTGATTGCAATCAGCTGTGAGGCGGAGTGATACATACACAGTGAAATAACCGTGATGTTGTACTCCAATATCATCACGGTTTTACTGTCTCTTGACCAATCAGATTGCAGGGCCGGAACTAACTGTTGTATAATGACAAACAAAATCACCATGCAGCACAATAAGATAAATTTTAACAGCACAGTAGCTGACCAACAATTAATGTTAGCATTCAGTTGGATCCTACTCTATTTATTCCCCACACCGTGCTAATGTTAAAATGCTAATTGTGTTAGTTACAATCATCTTTATAAAAGCCTAAAAGTTAAGTTATATCTGCCCAGTAATACCTTTATATTTCACTCTTTGTGTGGCTTTCTTGGATTTTTATTTCACTTTTAGCTGATGTTTTTTACACAGAAGATACTGATCCCCTCTCATTCTGAACAAAGAAGTTCAATTAACTATAAAAGTAGTAGCTTATATGCTATTATACTTTTGAGGCAGAGAGGGAAGTGACACATCTTATGTACAAATGTTAGCAATGTAATTTTAGTCAGTTGAATGTGCTTGGTTATCAGCCTCATGCGTACTGGTTAGAAGGGGGCTGCTTCACCTAGTAGTAGGATCAAGGGCCTGTATGAGCCCATTAAATGGCTGTTATCAGTTGCAAATAGGAGCATAAGTATGAAAACTTTAATTGTTAGGTGGTGACATCCAGTGGCTGCAGTAATTATGACAGGAGCAAAGAAGGGAAGTCACCATGTAAAGCCAAAAGTGCCTAAATTATGTCACTTTTTGTTACGTAACAAACGTACCTATTTGAACCCTACCACAATCTTTTTCTCAACTTTGCCACATAGTTTTGATGCCTAAATCTGATGAAAATTGAAACTGAAACCTAATGGTTAATTATTGGGCTGATAATGACCTTCTGAACCTGCTAGTAGGTGTAGCAGGCCCCTTCTGACTCATATGCTTGAGGCTGATAACAGCTTTTAATGGGCTGATAACACTCGAAATCATGCCTGTCAAGTTTTGGATCTGAAAATAAGGGAAATTTTCCGGCGCCCATTGCAAGCCGTCCCACCACCCCAACCAAGCTCCAGTATCCCTTACATTTTAAGACAGGTGTACAGGAAATCTAAAATAACCACTTGTCAACCAGACCCGCTGTCGACAATAACCTCGCAACGACTGCCACCCAGGCTACTGCAGGTGGCAGTTCTCGCAAGGCTAGTGACAGAGTTCAAGTTTGGAGAGGCAGAGGAATGTTTTGTTTTTTTTAATTATATTATAATATGGGAGATTTACGGGAAAATACTAATACGGGAGGACGGCGGGAAAGAGGGGTAAAATACAGTAGTTTCCTGGCCAAAACGGGAGACTTGACAGCTATGCTCGAAATACGTGTCTTGATGGGGTCCCTTCTCTCTTCCCACTGGCTTTCCGACAATGGCTGTCAAGACGAGAGGAGTGCAGTTGGACCCACTCTGAATGGTGATGCTTTAAGTATTGACTCAAACATTAAACTGCACAGAATTTTTTCTGGAGTGAGAATATCAGTGAAAAAGTAAATATAGACTCAGGAGGTAAAATATGTGTCGATAATGATTAATGTAAATTAGAGTAATCACCTTAAATAGAGACAGTGTGCAGAAGGTTACTTAAGGTCTTACAAAAAAGGATGGGTATTGGGCATTGGGCATTATCTAGTTTTCCCATGGGGTTGATTTAAGTTTTATGAAATCTACATTGCATTAATACACATAGATCTGGCTTACTATGGCAATGTAAAATGTGAACAATTACATGTCTGGCATGTTAACTTCCTTACTGGTCAGTGTACTTTTCTGGGATCTTTGTCCAGTTGAGGGTGAGCTCTTTGAAGTAGTTAAACAGAGGGGTGACCTGTTTCTTTAGGTAAGCCTGAGGGATGAAGATACACACATTTTGTTAAATTACTGTCAAACATAGAGATGTGTGGCATCCAGAAATGATTACCCAAAGACATGCATTCAAATTGTGTTGGATATGTCCAGTTATGTCTTCCCCAGCCCATCTGTCAGAAGAAAAAGTGGGCATTGTACATTTCTGTAAATTATGGATATGTTACATTTGCACCTTTCATACGTATTATATAAACATTTCTAAAGTGATGTAGTATAAGCTTACTTGATGCCTAGGTAAGATGTGTGCCAGGTTGCAGACAATTATGAGGGGCCGTACAAGCCATAATTCATTCTGGCCCTCTCACACACATACATTCTTCTTTCACATACATTTATTTTCACTCTCACACACATACATATATTTTCACTCTCACACACATACATATATTTTCACTCTCACACACATACATTCTCCTTTCATATACATATATTTTCACTCTTCTTTTACAAACATATATTTTCACTCTCACATAGCTATATACACTTTACTTTTCAACACATACACATATGCTGCGGTCGGAAAGTCTTTTTTGCTTAGGAAGGTTCCTAGCTGAGTGAAATGACCCGAAGTATTTTAGTGGCCGCCATGATAAGAGCTGTTCGAATTCTCTAAACACTAAGGAAAGGAGGTTCAATGCTTCCTTTCAGATCTCCTTTAGCACAGGATACATCGGACCTTCCTAAGTGATAGGAAAGGAGATAATTCCATCCCATAAGTCATTGCAGTGGCAATATTTACGCACTATTCACAAACTCAAATGATTAGGAAAGAAAAAGTTCAACATGACTGAGAAAGGAAGGAGATCACCATCTAAGTTACCGCTGTTTATGAAACATTATACATCTCATGCCATAACTTGTTCATATATATTTTTTCAACTTTCAACATTATGTTAAACTTAGGTGCGAACTATGAACGTTTCGCTACTATTGGTGTACCCTCCATCCACAGCTTTGTTCAACTTGTTTTATAACAGGATAAACAAATATACAAATATACAATGCATGGCTAAGATAACGGATAACTAGATATAGAAATTAAACCAAAACCAGAAACCTACTTGTTTTTCGCCTTTATTGTTATATCTATATTATCTGCCCCTACTGCATCTCAAAACATTGGCATCNTACTTGTTTTTCGCCTTTATTGTTATATCTATATTATCTGCCCCTACTGCATCTCAAAACATTGGCATCAGCTATGCTTATGGCCTAGATAGATAGCTTCCCACTTTTTGTTCCCTTGTACAGTGTTTCCCTGCAGAGCTACAGTGGAAGGATCATAACAAAAAATACAAAAGACTGTAACGTTATAAGATATCTGCCTGAGGTTATTAAATACCTGCAGCGAGCACCCCACCCCCACCCCCCACCCCGCAGCAGAAACGATAAGCGCGTTTCCCCATAAATAGAGACGCTGTGCGCATTTACGCACGAGGCACAGCAGCGTCTCTCTTCATGGTTAATATTATCATTATTATTATTATTTATTATTTATCTGTCTATCTATGCAGTATTGATTTAACAATAAAGGCCATACACAAGTTTATTACTGGTTGTGGTCTAATTTCTACTCCAACTGCCCATTTGAAGAAGAAAATGGAAAAAGCACATGGATTTCCATTTTTTTTTTATTCACACAGAAAAACAAAATAATGCATTTAATATTTGTTTATCCTGTTATAAAACAAACAAGTTGAACACAGCTGTGGACGGAGGGGACATGCACCGTAACATATGCTCAGTGTGCATCAGTCATTTATTCATTTGAGCGTTGTTGTATTGCCAGCCTTTAGTAATATCATTAATTCATTTTACTACTTGGGATTCAGATGGGTGAGTGTGAGCAAACATTCTCAATGTGACAATTTCGTTTCAGTTTGTGGCTGGTAGCCTATATTCCTTTTTTTAATTCAATTCCGACCTTAGTGATTAAACAATATCTTTCACTGTGTTGTCCACGTTTATATATCCTGCATGAAACAACACGATGAGAACGTACGCCCCATACGTTCTCATCATGTGCATTTTGTAGTCCATCTTCAGAACATTGTAGTTTCACTACAGCAGACCCACATCAATAACATCCTTCTCAGCCAATCACAGCGCGATAAATTCTTCTTCTTCGTTTGGTTTTATGGCGCGTTGCAACCATTGCTCATTAGGTGTATACCGCCACCTACTGTACCGGAGTATGTAGACGATAAATGGACTGCCTTCCGTTTCCACTATACTCCTTCTGTTTCCACTATACTCTTACTCACACATGCATACATTCTTCTCCTACATACATATATTTTCTTTCAACATACATACATTTTCCTTTTACATACATATATTACTTATAGTATTAAATGTATACATGATTGCATGTGCATGAGAGCAGAGTGTATGAATGTGTGCGTAAAATATATGAATAAGAGAGAAAAATGTATCAATGTGTGTGTTCAAACATATAAATATGAGAGTGAAAATATATGTATGTGTAAAGAGAATGTATGTGTGTGAGAGGGTGAGAATGAAATATGTCTTGTACGGCCCCTCATAGACAATCGTTTGAGACCAACAAACAACAGCACCAGCTGTGATTTAGCGAGTCATTGCTGTTTCCAGCGGCTTTTTAGGCACCAAACGTGGGTGTTGTGTAGCGACTCATTTGATGTTTTTCCAGCGGCTTTATTAGCACCAAATGTAGGTGTTTTGTACCGACCAGTTGCTAGGCTAGTATTTTTAATAAGTACATTTTTAATGTACCTGCTACATAATGACATGAAAATGTAACATATCCTTGGTTTGCCAAAACTTACAATACAAACATTTTGCGGGGGATTGGGTTGATTTTTAACCTGGAAATCCAGATGCCCCACCTCTAGCAAATTCGAATTTGCTCTGCACAGGGATCTGGCCCCGACAAGCAGAGCCCAGGGATCAGTCTATCGGACAGATGCCGTTGTATTATCTGAGTAACATGATGAGGACAGAGCTGCGCTGTAGGAGTCAAAAAGTAAACAGCCAAAATGGCAGCTGCCGAAGGACCGCGTCCATTCAATTTAGCTTTGGAAGAAACGCTGAGCCAACTACACTTATCTTTTCCTTGAGAGAAGAACAGAAGACTGCCCTAGAAGCCTTTACTTCCAGGAAGGACGTTTTTGCCATTTTGCTGACAGGATACGGCAAAAGCATAACATATCAGTTAGCCCCACTGGTCGGCAAACCAATGGGGCTTAGTGCAATAGGAGGTAGGAAGGGTGTATCGGTGAGGGCCAGACTCAAAATCTTTCTAGATTTGAGTCTGGATTTCCAGGCTAGTTGATTTTACCATGTTAACCAATCTGCCTTCCTTCATAAACAGCTTTTTGGGGTCAGTATTTGAATTAATTTATTGAAGAAACATAAATTATAACCATTTATCACAAACCTGCATGGGTCCATAAACTTCACTGCGGTCAAACATCTGGGAGAAGTAGTTCAAGTTGCGACGGGCTGTCTCCCAGGGCATGTATTCGACCTCTTTATTTAGGAACTTGGTAGTTGTCAGAGCCAGAGTTGTCTTCACCATCTTTGCCCTGAATATGGTACATACAATTGTTCAGCTCTCTATTTCAATGTTTGACAACAATGCTTTGAAAGAAAAAAAAAGAACAAAAACAAAAAAAAAAACCTCACCTTGCAAGGTTAAAGGCATCATTGATAATTTGAACTCGGTTGATCACTGGAATATCCTGAAAAGTAAACAAGGAATTGAGCTTGGAGGCTTGGATAATTCTTTTAAAGCACTGCTGAAGTAATGCAGCATTCTGTCCAGTGGGAGGTGTTGTACCTGATGTTCGGAGCTCAGCTTGGCAAGGAGACGGTCCCAGTTTTTAGAGTCATAGTTGACTCTGTAGAAGCCCCTCATATTTATGTTGGCCACCAACCACTCATTAGCACCAAGAGTCATATTTGTGTTTGTTGCTGTTTGGATGGAGATGAATAAAGCATCTCTTTTTACTGTGGTCATCAGCCTTGCAATGCTCTGAACGTACACCTGAAATAAATCTTACCTTCTTTGTCAAGAAGCCAGAACATCTCTTCAGCTCCACCAGACTTAATCCATGTAATGGGGACAATCCACTCATAACTAGAGCCACATCCATCCAGCCATACATGTATATATGGAGAGAGCAGGTGAGTTTTTTATGACAGGGTTAAATATGAGCACATACAGTATATTCAGCACATTCACATAAAACACTAAGAATGTTTCCTACTTGTATGGTGAGGGTCTGTCCACTTCAGAGTCTGGGTCCAACAGGAAGTGTTGCTGGGTAATTTTTCCGGTCTGGGTGTCGATGGTGACCACTGGGAAACCCATCTGTAGTATCCAGCGGTTCATGATATCCTCCAAAGAGTGGGGCAGATCTATACCTGCTTCATCCACTGCCTGATAAAAAGAACATTAAAATATTACTATATAGTATTATGACTTTTTGCTGCTCCCTGCAGAGGAATT